CTCAACCCTGCCCCCTCGTGGAGCATCTGGGTGCGGCCTCTCTAAGGCCCGCGGTGAGATCTCCATCCATCCTACTGTTCCCAGGCACGGAAGCCTGTGCTGGGCCCCACACAGGCGGGAAAGGGCAGCCTCTCCATGGAGAGTCCTGCAGCGGCTCTTCTCTCCTCTTCTGGGGCCTGTGGCAGCCTGGGCTCCACTCCACTCTGTTGGAACCCTCCCTGCAGGTGAGGGCCTGTCTTCACCGAGCACCGGGTGGGTGGGTGAAGGAGCTGGAGGAAGGAATGGAGGAGGAGTAGAGCAGCGTCACAAGCGAGGGCTCTGGAGGGACACAGGAAGCATATGCCACTTCCTGGCTGCTGGCCCTGGGACAGTCACTAAGCTCTCAGGGCCTCGGGTTCCTCACGTACGAAATGGGGACCACACTAGCACCTGCTCAGGAGGGCCGCTGGAGGAGCTGTCACCACTGCTGCCATTTTACAGCTGGGGGAACAAGCTCAGAGAGAGTGAGCACAGCCCAGGACCCAGAGCTGACAGGGGTGGAGTCGGGGGCTGTCACATGGGGTCCTCTCACGGCAAGTGCTGCCCTTCCACTCCTCCTGTGTCCTGGTCACCATTGAACCACGCACACCTCAGAAGAGAGAGGGACATTTCTTCCTCATTAATGGGACATGGCAGGTCCCAGGTGGCCCCCATGCCCACCACCAGGCAAGTACATAATGATGCACTAGCCCTCATGCATGAAGGTCACATTGTATACTTGTTTCCAGGTCCATTTTCAGAGAGCTGAAATACACTATAAAACCCATGGTTACCTCTCGCCTTTAAATATCATCTCAAAAGACAAAGGCAGGATTTCTTACTGGGGCTCTATTTCTGTTCCTTCTCAGTGGAAATCAGCTTAAGTGTGCCCCGTGAGTATGACTGCAGGAATCAATTCACGGCTTTTAACCCACCTGGGGATTACCTTTAGTCCAGAGGGGTTAAATATGTGGCACTTAAGGGACTTACCTTGGGAGCTACTCCTTTTTCTTTCCTTCCATTTTTTATGCATTTTACAAAACATCAAGGGAAAACACATGATCTTCAATTATCTGCGCAGGGCCTACTTACTAAGCAGCACAAGGCCCAAGGAACCGCAGAGCAATTTGGGCACCACAGCTCTGCAGGACTGTGCTGGGGTCAGCCTTAGGCTGTCGGGGGTAAGGCACAAAAGTGTTGGTTGTCCAAAAGTCAAATGTTTAAAAGGAGGTGAGCTGCAGCCTTACCTCCTCCCTCCCCTCTGCCAACTGAGGCAGTGATTCCTCCCTCTCCTGTGAGAATCCAAGGGTTGCTTGTTAGTGTGCAGGCTCTGAGCCGGAGGACGGCAGAGGTCCACCTGAAGCCTGGTGTGCAAGGTGGGATCCATTTAGCAGGTTCCATAGGTCAGTGGTTCTCAAACTTTGCTGCCTTCAGAACCAGCTGAAAAGATCCCAACGTCCAGGCTTCTCCCCAGGCCACCTAGTCAGGATCTCTGGGAAAGTGACTGGGCATTGGTGTGTAATGAAACTCCAGGGTGGTTCTAAGGTACAGGAAAGTCTGGGAACCACTGCTGCACTTTGGTTCTGTTTGGGATCAGCCGACCTGGGTAGTGGAGGGGACGCTGAGAATCAAGAGGCAGGATGAGGAGGAGCCTGGGTGGGGTGGGCAGGGTAGGGGTGTGGCCGGAGCCTGCAGGGGCAGAACTAGGCAGGACACGCCGTGACCAAGCCAGCCCTGGGCATGCTCGGGAAGCATCTTAGAGTCATCAATCCATCTTGTCTTCCCCATAAACCCAGTGGTGTCTGCGGAGGGTCCGGTTCCAGAAGCTCATCATAAAAGAGGTTTCATGTGAACAGTTTCAACTTGGAAGGACTCAGGCTGCTCTCTTCTTCCTCTGACTTTCCCCTGACAACATTCTCTCTGCCATGATTTTCCACTAGGGCCCAAGTGGCCGTGTGTTTGCAAAGATCAGTCTCCCACCTGCTCCACAGACACTGTGGCAGTCAGGACTCTTGGGGAAATGGTCAGGGTTTGGGCATATTCATGCCTGTGGCTGGGAGAGCAGGGGTGGGGTCCAATCCCCAGGGAAAATGAGAGCCTGGTAAGAGGGAACAAGGGCCCAGAGGAGTGTCCTAGAGTTTGAGTAACAGATCCAGCCTGCACAATGAAAGAACCGTTTAGAAGATCCTGGGGACCTCTATGCACACCCTCATGTACACACTATCTGTACACACCCCAGTATACATGCCCCATGCACATGCCCTATGTACCCTCCCCAATGTACACACTCATGTATACACTCTATGTACAAACGTCAATCTATACACCCCATGTACATACCCCATGTATACACCCTAATATACACACCCATGTCACACACCCTAATGTGCACTCCCATAAAACACCCTGTGTACACACCCCATGTACACACCCCATGAACATAACCCCCGCCAAGCTGTCAGCCCTGCATGGCAGGATCCGCATGCAGCCCTGTTTTCCTCTGTGCACATGGGGTGGGGTTGATTGGTTCTCAGGAGTCTGGACTACTTGTGACCTGCAGCCAAATGCCCAGGATCTCCACGCTGGCAAGGCAGTGGGACTGGGAGGGTCCCCAGCACTGCACAGCTGTGGAGGGCCTTCCTTCCGCCTGGACTGTCTGGGAGCCTGCGACCACTAGGTGGTGCCAAGAGCAAAGGCTGGGTCAGAGGACCCGGGAGCCCAGCCCTCCAACAGGATCCCTTAAGCCACCTGCCTAGCCCCAGGGAAGGTTTCCTGTAGCTCTGTAACCTGCTGCGTGCCTGGGGGGGGGGGGGGGGTGTCTTCATGCACTTACCTGGGAAGGGAGCTTTTTCTGGGGAATTTGCAACTTGATGTGGAGACCCATGGAGTGGGTACCCACCAGCTCACCTCCTGCTCCAGCCCAGTCTGTATCCTATCCCTGTGCTGGGCACCAGGAAGGAGGGATGCACAACTGCATCAGGGCAGGGGCTGTGCCTTCAGTATATCATAGGCCAGGCCCAGCACGTCCCCATGCCTTATGCCCTCCACCCTCCCAACAGCTCCTGGGGCAGATATTATTGTGCCCAGATTACTCTGAAAGTTCATGTGTGACTGTGTCAGGTCCCATGTTCATTTATAGACTCTCAGTGCTGAGAGGAGAGGTGCAGGACATGAAATATTGAATATCAAGTGACACTCTAGCTGTTTGAGGTCAGCAATCCCGTAGCCATCCCTTCCTCAGCAGGCCCCTGGGGAGCACTTCTGTGTGCCACCTTATGTTTCAGGCACACGGCAGAAGCAGGGCCCAGACCCTGCCCTCAGCAAGTCCACCAACCCAGGGCCGAGACCAGCTCCAACCAACCTGGCTCTTAGGGCAGGAAGGAGTCATCGCTTCTGCCAAAGAGTGCTGACAGCACAGGGACCCCCAGAGATGGCCAGGGGAGTCCATGGAGCTGCCAGGCGTCTAGTGCCACAGCCCTGCAAGGACGTGCCTCCCTCCATGGAGTCAGAAAGCCAGCCAGCAAAGCCAAATGACCGTCACTTTCACAGTACTCAATGCCACCTGAATAAATCACCCCTACTAACACCTGCTTCTCCATCAGCTTAAGTACAGGGAAAGCTTAAATCCATCTTCCAATGCCTAAAATTTAAGAGAAGCTATAACTAGCTCAGGAAATGGTTGTTAGGTGAATGAAAGAGCCCAGAGGAGGCCAAGGTCAAGAGTGGGTAAGTAGAGTTACGAGAGGCATTTGGGTCTAGGCCTTGACCCAGACTGTGTCCATGGCCACTTTGGGTCTGTTCCCTTCTCGAGAAGAGAAGACAAATTTGTGTGAATAACCCACATCACGGCCTGTACTGTAACCATGAAATGCAGATTTACAAGCCACATAGAGTAGGGCCCTTCTGACAGAGGGAGACCCTGGAGCCCAGCCGAGCCCACCCTGCTGCCCCACAGAAGCCCTGGCCTCACCTCTGCTCACCCCAGAGTTCAAGTGTCCGGTTGAGCCCTGGAGGATGCTCTGTGGCCTAGAAGTGGCAGAGCCAGCTCCTGCCCTTGCTCTGTGTCCTCAGGGCATCCTCTTCCTCCCAAGGCCTTGGTCTCCTCTGGGACCTAGAGAGAAGGGCCTGGATGGGATTCAGGCGGCAGCTAGGGAGGGCAGAATCCCAGAGGCACAGAAAGCTCAGAGCTCCAGACACCAGGGCTGTCCACCAGCCCAGCCGTCAAGGCTGCAGTTTCTCCTTTCAGCTGTCCCTTTTGCCACTGTACATTTGCCAGAGTGAAGATGAACTTGCTGACTAGGTGGTGGGAACAGCGGGTGGTGGGAACAGCGGGTGGTGGGCTGCAGGTGGGAGAGGTGGAGTGAGGCCCATCACTCTGACTGCAGAATGAAGACTCTTCTCTAGGGATCTGCTCTAACAGCTGAGCCCAGCCCACCTCCCCGGGGGCTAAGGAGATCCAGACGCAGGGAGCTGAGGTCACGATCCTGTGGCTGCAGCATGCCCCCTTTCTTGATAGCCAGTGGCAATATCAGGCCCCCTGGCCCAGCCTGGGCTTAAAGAGCTGTCATCAGCTCAGCTGGGACCCAGGAAATCAGCAGAGGAAAGACGGGGCATCTTGAATGATGTCACTGCAGAGTGACTCTCTTGTCAGCAGGCCCTCAGCTGCCCAACGACTGGGCCCCCTCCTCTGTGACCTGAGACCACCTCCCCTGCCCCTGGGAGTGTGAGGATGAAAGGAAAACAGGAAAGACAGTCAAAGAGAAGGCAAGCGTGAGCTGACGCCCAACCTGGGCCCATCGCTTTTCAGAGATTTGGGCTCCTGGGCCTTATTTTATTGAAAAGGAAAGAGACGCTTAACTATCAAATGCAAGGTGCAAAGTCTATTAAATTCCGACACTGTGAAGATGGGAAGGTGGTGGCAGGGCCTTAGGGCTTCTACCTGCTCCTCAGCAGCCCCCCTCACTGCTGCCTTTCCCCCACAGGCCCTCGTTCCGGCCCCCACAGCCATGACCTTCACCCCAGGGCCGCTGGAAGACACAACGGCGAGCCCTCAATTCTGCAAGTGGCCGTGTGAGTGCCCGCCATCCCCACCCCGCTGCCCACTGGGGGTCAGTCTGATCACAGACGGCTGTGAGTGCTGTAAGATATGTGCCCAACAGCTTGGGGACAACTGCACAGAGGCTGCTGTCTGTGACCCCCACCGGGGTCTCTACTGCGACTACAGTGGGGACCGCCCGAGGTACGCAATAGGAGTGTGTGCACGTAAGTGAGAGCCTCCGTACCTTCCACCTGGCCCCAGGACCCCAGCTCTGGCCCGGGGCCCCTCGCCCTTGGCACACTTGCAGGCAGCCATTCATCTGGCCAGGCCTCAGCTTGGCAGGAGGCACCCCCAGCCCAGCCCAGCCCCTGGTGAGAAGCCACAGGGCAGGTCCCTCCTGGGGAGAGGGCGATGCCCATGTGCCTTTCATCTCTACACCTTGACTCCTTGCTCCCTTCTCAGTCTGGAAACATCCTTCTCTGGTAAGGAGTTTCCCCAGGGAAGACCTGTTCTCTTAGTGGGTGGCACCATCCCAAGGGATGTCAGGTCACTTCAGAGCACCTCATCGTTTAGTAATGTTATAAATTAAAATAATGTGGTTAAATCCAGTAGGCTTGAAATAATAAAAACCAGCAGCCTGCAACCACCCCTTCCTACCAACCACATTCTCTGGGTTACTTACAGTCACTTTTAACTTTCTTATATTTTCCACTGAGTGACTCATGCCTTCTGCTGTATTTTAACTGGACTGATATGTCAATTTTGGATGATTTGTTTATAATCCTATATGATAACTGATGACTTAGCTCCTCAGTGTCATCTAATACATCCCTTTTCTTTCAATGTCATTGCTGTAATTTGGGGGTATACAATAATTAGTATTTTTAATATTATGAGTATGGGAATAACGCTCACTACAGTACTTGATTGAATTTCTGTTTTACAATGCCTGGAGTGTTTCCTGGAGTTTCTAATTGCCTTTGCTTTTTTCTTTGCTCTTGGTCTTTACATCATCCTCGTGTATTTGTTTGCTCTTCAAGTGTTTGCTCCACTGTGGGTACCCTGCTCTATTTTGTTTTCAGAGACTGCCTCTCTAGGGCTTTCTGACCTACTTCTGGACTTGCATTTCCTTAATTTGACTCATGTAAGCATTGTCCATGGTACATGTCCTAGCAGGATGAAGAAAGGTACTTAACCATCATGCCACAGCAGCCTAACTTCTGAAGAGTTCTATGGACTCTCATAAATCCAAGAACTCCCTTCTTCCCTTAGTGCTGAATCAAGACTTCCCCATAATTACAACTCCACATACAGCCCATCACATATTCACACACAGTACAGTCTCTTATCCCCAGATAGCACATTACACTTCCTGAGGTGGGTTGATGGTGAGGGCTATGCACATAATTTCTAGTCACGCAATCCTGTCCAACCCTCGTGGTTAATTTATGGCACTTTTCTCGTTTGATCATTAGTTTGTTTTCAACTTTCATTACAAGACATGTCTTGACTTTGCAAGTAGCCCCCTCTGCTTCCTCTATCCTTCCAGTCTTTCTTCTTTTACTGAGACTCATTAACAGTTCCACAAAACAATGTGTTCAAAGAGAACTTGCGACCTGACCTGTACAGAAGCATCCAACATATTGATTCAGATATTTATTCCTGATCCCAGTCCAGACTTACTGAATCACATCCTTTGGAAGCAGAGATGGGAATATGTACCAGGTGTTTCTCAGGGATGCTGAAGTTCAAGACTGACAGCTAACACACAAACTAGGAGGGGAAACTGGCCCAGCCTCCTTGTGCTAGAGCCGCCTAGAGTTATATGAGACTGTCTCATAATTCCTCTCCATTGTTCTTCAAGGTCACTCAAAGGGCAATTCAGTTCATGGCCATTGTACTAATCCCTGGAGCTGTACTACAATCTTGTCAATTACCAGGCATCAAAGCTTTGTAAGCCTTCTCTCCTGGATCCAGAGGCTGCCTCTCCTGCTTGCCTCCTCCACCAGGGCCTGGAAGCCCCCTGCCCCACCCCTCCTCCTGCCTGTACATCTCAGGTCCTGCCTGCACCTGCTCCCGCCTCTGGGCTCCCTGCCACCATGAGCCTTTTATGTATTTCCTTGCCATTTATTTTGGAAAACAAACAAACAGAAACTGTGGTCCTGAGAAGATTTGATTGGGTCTCACCATTATCAAGGCTTATCTGGACGTGTAGGTTTGCAGACACTGGAATAAAGTTAAACAGGTGCCACGGAACTTCAGGGGCTTGGAATGTTCATGTTCATGGTCAAGTCCCAAAGGAGCTGCGACAAGAGGCCTTTTTCATTATAAACTTATTTGAATACTGAGATATTTTGCTCAGGTACTTTATTCTCCACTTTCACCACACATATGCGCACACACACACTCACACACATTATGTATATAATACATATGTATATAACACATCACATGCAAACCCATACACACTCACACAGACACACACACCAACTCACTAATGTTCTACTGACTCTTGTCCTAGAGTCACTGCTGCAGTGTAGGACCTTCTGAAACCCAATGCAAGAAAGAAGCCAGGCTGAAAGCATAGAGAGGACGACACCTCTGAGCCAGAGAGAAGGAAAAGTCTGGTCCCACAGACCCTCCCACCAGGGTCAGCTCAGCCAGCAGAGGGTCCTAGGATGAGACGCATCTGCCTTTGGAGGTCTTCATGTAATTATGTCAGGATGAGGCAGGTCATAAAAATGAGCCAGTGCAAAGCTGGCACTCAGAGAGGATGGGCAGGGCCATGGCAAACTGCCAGCTGCCAGCTTTGGCTGTCTGAGGTCACCCCCCGGGGACCTCAGCCCTGGTGGCCGGGGGAAATGTGAGCTTGGTCTTGTCCAGTCTGCTCAGTTTTCAAGAAAACCCAGAAGTCTCGATTTGTGTAGTGTGGATAAGTTGGCAAGACATTCAGAATGTTTTTTAAAAACACTCGGTGGGCCAAGCTAAATGCCCCCGCGGGCAGAGCGTGACCTCTGAGTTAGCCCGCTTGGCTATTTCGGTTGCACAAACACTGCATCTAATGCGGCTGGGCCAGCCTGAGGGCAGGGTGGTTGGTGGAAGCATCATGATGTTCACAGGCACCGGCTGGGGTTTCCGCCCTGGCCCCCCGCTGCTGGCTAGCTACGTGTCTGTGGGCACTCACTGGGGGCTTGAGGAAACCAACCTCGGGAGCCAGGAGGAAAAAGGGAATATGCATCCACCCACAGGACCAGCGCTCTTGGTTTTGCTTTGTTTGACTGGCCTTTTCAGAAGTCATCTCTGTCCTGTCTGGGGTCATAATCAGAGGAGGGACAGCTCTGGTTCCAGTCCTGGCCCCGGCCCCCGTCTGAGGCGAGGGAACAGTAAAGGCAGACATGGTCTTTGGAGCTGGCCAACCTAGGTGGGATCCCACCTGTTACCTGGTACTAGCTAGTACTAGTAAATAAGTACTAACAAGGGCTTAGGCAAGTTACCTAGCCTTTCAAGTCTCCGTTTCCTGGAAATGACCAAGAGCACCACCTCTCTGGGTGGCTGGGTTGAGTCCCCACATCTGGGGATGGGTCACCCACAGCCACTGCACACCCCATCTCCACCGGGGTCGGCTCATCACAGCTGACAGCAACTCCTCCCACTTCCCCACCCACAGGTCCAAGGAGACCCAGGGAACCTTCCAGACATAGTGGTTGTCAACCTTGGCTACAAACTGGATTCAAAAACACCGAGGATAACATAAGCCAAACATGGAGGTCCCCCTCAGATTCCATGTCATGGGCTGGGCACCCGCAGTTCCCTAGGTGCCTGTGCTGGTCCCAGGGAGCCACGGGTGCAGAATCTCTGTGCAAGGCCAGGCCTGCCCCGCTGCCTTCCTCCAGAGTCCCCCACGGGGGCGGAGCCTCAGTCTCACCTGCACTCGCCATCCCAACACTCACTCTCACCCACACTCACAGACTCACACACACTCTTACACCCCCCTCACACACCATACACACACTCACACACATTCACACTCCTGTTCACAGAGTCTCACACACATGCACTAACATACACCTACACACACACACCCATGCCCACACCACCCCCACACATAATCACACACACTCACACTGCCCTCTCACACACTCACACCCCTGATACACACATAGTCAAATGCACACTCACTTTCACACACACACCCATACAACCCTGACACACTCACACTCACACCCTCATAACACATACCTACACATTCACACAGTCCCAGTCACATTCATACCCCCACACTCACACTTACTCTATACACATTGAAACACACTCACCCTCCCATAACACACACACCTACACACACAGAGTCAGAGTCACACACACATACATACAGTTTCCCTCCACACACTCACCCACACAGACACTTGCAATCTTCTTCCTGGAGGGGGTGGCTCGGTCAGGGTGACTCAATGCAAAGCTGAACAACGCACTCCTGTCCCCTCTTGTCGGCATGCTCTTCTTCCTTTCCCATTCCCTCTCCTCGCCTGGTGGAAGGAAAGGGCTGTGGGGTCAGAGCCACGGGGCTGCAGTCCCAGCTCTCTCATTCACAGCTTCCTGACCTTGAGAAAATGAAGCACTTGGCCTCCTGGACCTTTCCTGTCTGCAAATGAAGAAAATAAAACTCTCTGATGAAGTCATTGGGAGACCTGAATGAGGTCACACCCTGGGGGTACCTGGCACCAGACCAGATGGCCAGGACATATTGGAGTCCTGCCTCAGTGCTCCTCCCCCCTGTGTGACCACTCCCTGGAAAACAGCAGCCAGCAAGACTCGTGGGCACTGAACCCACTTCTCATTCTGGTCCCCTTGGGGAGGGGACTGCGCCTCGTTGAGGTGGTCTTGCTGTAGGTAACAGTGACAGTGATGATGTGCTTCCCTCTAGGAGAAATAACTCCCACGCCTGCCGCAGAGGAGACCCAGGCCCCACACTGGATAGAGGATGATGACTATGGACACCCCTCCCTAGCAGAACCAGGGGCAGGACAGAACCACAGGCAGGCTGCACATTCCTCCTCTGATGGGCTCCTTACTGCCTGGGGACTCTGTTCTCAGGCAGCAAATGGCATCAAGCATGACTTCTGGCCCCGCAGCCCACAAAACCCTCCCAGAAGTCCAGGTTCATGGCCAACTCCACGGCTACTCAGATGCCAACCCTGACACTCACATCAAGGCTCAAATCGGCCTACCTCAAACCCTGCTCCTCCAAGGAGGACAGAGAGCACCTCGCCTTCCAGGGAGCCTGCTCCTCACACCCCTCCACCAACACGAGGAGCCCTTCTCACGGCCATGGCCCTCCCTGGTTCCAGTCACCACTCACTCCTGCCTCTTGCCAGGGCTGGGCGGGCCTCCCATGCTGCCCTTCACCCCTCTTTTCTCTGTTCTCTGCTCGGTACCACACAGGTTCTTGTGAAGCATAATTCACGCCATTCCTGAAAGTTACTTATCAAACACCGACTGTGTGTACAGCGTGGTTCTAGGCCGTTAACTGCTCTGCATTCTCCCCTGGGCCTCCAAGGAAGCCGTCTCTGGCCTGATCTCCTTCTCCCCATCCTCTTTCTTCCCCTGTCCCTCCTGCACCCCTGCTTCCTCCCACCTGTGGTGTGAGCCCTTCCTTCCTGAAGCTCCTCCCCCAGCACCTGGGCTGACTCACACCTGCCCTCCTTTGGTCTTGGCAGAACCATCCTCGGCTCATTGAGGCCTCCCGGCCCACCCGGTTTCGATTCAAAGCTGTTCCCCATCATCCCTCCCGCCGCACTCTTCCCCGGGCGGAGGGATACGGTACCTAAGCCCCTCCATACGTCAGCCCTGAAGAGGGAACTGGGTTTCGGTGGTCTGCTTGCCTGCATGTCTGCCCTCTCAGCACACGGCCCTTTGGACCAGGACCAGGCTGTGTGTCGATGCCACAGGGAGCAAGCCGCCCTGTCCCTCTGGGTCTGTACCCTCTCACCGCAGCGCTGGTCCCTTAGGGGTGCTAGCCGCAGCTAATGACCCCCTCATACCCCAGGTCCTCAGTCCTCTCCCGCCCCTGCTCTCCGGGTGTGCCCACCCTGGACAGCTCCCCGTGCTCTGGCACCGTGAGCCTGAGTTCGGAGGGTCCAGCAGAGCCCGGGCCACTCAGGCAGCCCTGGCCCAGAGCCCTGTGCCTCCTGGGCCTGACCTGGCCGCTGGCTGTGTTTGCAGAGGTGGTCGGCGTGGGCTGCGTGCTGGACGGGGTGCGCTACCTCAACGGGGAGTCCTTCCAGCCCAACTGCAAGTACAACTGCACTTGCATCGACGGCGCGGTGGGCTGCACGCCCCTCTGCCTCAGCACTCGGCCCCCGCGCCTCTGGTGCCGCCGCCCGCGGCGGGTGAACTTGAAGGACCAGTGCTGCGAGCAGTGGGTGTGCGAGGACGACGCCAGGAGGCCACGCAAGACCACGCTGCGGGACACCAGCGCCTCGGGTAGGTGCGGGCCCGGCAGGGGCGAGACCTGGGGTGGCGGGTCACAGACCCCCCCTGCCTGTGAATGGCTCCTGGCGCCCACTGTCCAATTCAGAAGTCACTGGTTGTGTCATTAGGAAGTCACTCCTCCCTGGGGCCATAGGTCCCCACTTGTAAAATGGAAATTAAGATTTTTATGCTGGGATTCTCGCAATATAAAAAGAGGAAGCACTTTGTAAGCTTCCTAAAGAACAAAGTGTTTTCCCAGGTAAACCCTTATTATCCTACCTGAGTGCTGGGGGCACTGGAGGCAGGGCGAAAGCCCTGGGAAGGGAGGCCTGAGTGGCAGGTACCAGGGCAGAGGCGTGGGCCTCCTTGAGGCTTCAAGGTGTCTTGAGGTCCCCAGCTATGGAGGATGGGTGGGCAGGCTGAGCCAGGTAAGCCAGAGAAGAGGAGAGGGAGGCAGGGATGGGTCTGTGTGTTTTACCGCTGTCTCCTGGAGCCTAGGCCAGGGCCAGGGTCCTGTGGGTGGGTGGCTAGTGAGGCTCTGAGCTGGGCGGTGGGAGTCAAGGCAGGGAGGTGGGCTTGGCTGGAGTAGACCGAGGTCTTGGTATGCATCACTGTGGGGGAGAGGGAGAGGGGGTAGAGGTGACTCCTGGGACTTGTCACTGCTGAGGAGAGAACAGAAGAGACTGGGCACCTCTGGTGGGAGAGGTCTGCCCGCTGTGAGGGGATGTGAGAGAGGCTGGGGCCGGCTGGGAGGGGGAGGGTGGGCAGAGAGCCCTCTCAGGGAACCCCCTGAGCTGCTGAGGGCAGGGTGGCAGGGCGGCAGGGCCCAAGGACACGACACAGAGAGACATAGAGGGCCTGGGGCAGAGGTCTGCAGAGGTTGAGCTTTGAGAGGTTCTCAGAAGAAGAGATGAGGAGAAGAACGTCAGAGAAAACCCGAGGGCTTGGCGCCATGGGAGACAGGAGGGGACGCTGCTGGAGGACAGAGCCTCCTAAGCAAGGGGACATGGAGCAGTGAAAACTGGAAATGGGGTCAGGAGTTGCAAGCGTAGTGGGTACAAAGTAAAACCCCTAAGTGCGTGACAGTGTTCGTGTCTCAGCCCTGGTGGCCCTTGGGGCTGCAGAACTACTTCCTTATGGTGGGGGCTGTGCAAGGGCGTAGGCTGTCCCCGTGTCCTGGCCTCTGGTTGTCTGTAGCAACCCCCACCCAGAAGTTGTGATCATCCAGAACATCCCAGGGTTGCCAGCTGTGCCCTGGGGGACAGAGCTGCCCGGCTCAGGAGCGGGTCCCTGTAGGTGGGAGAGGCAGCAGGGAAAGCCTGGTCCCGAGCAGACCCAGGGTGTCAGAGCAGCTGTCCCACACAGCCCCCCTCAGCAGGGTCACAGAAGAGTCACTGGGGGGTGGAGGGGGGCAGAGGCTGTCCGCCAGTTGTGGTCTAGTGACCCCATTACGACAGCACAAACAGAGCCCCTGCAGTGCTGCGGAGGTGACCCAGAAACCAAAGCCCTTTTATCCTCTAGGCAGATCCTTTCTCACCACCCCCCAAGATGCCGGCAGCCCCCCTCAGCCCAGCCCTGCCCTCTCTGTGAGCTTTCCCTCTGTTGACATCCCTGCCCCCACACTCGTTCATTCCTGCGTCTTGGGGGGAGGGAGGCCTGCACCCAGGAGCTGGGGCCCGAGTGTAGACGCAGCTTCCCTTCTTGATCCGCTTCTCTCCTGCTTATCTTCCCCCTCCAGCTGCCCCACCCCCATGCTTGTGTCCTCGGTCTCCCTCCTCTCCCCTCGCTCTTTCTTTCTCTTCCTTTTTTCCTCCCCTCCTTCTCTCTCGTCTGGGCCCTTCCGTCTGTCCTTCCATCCCTCCCCTCTCCACCTCTTCTGTTCTCTCTGGCCTCCTGCGCCTGGGTGTCCAGTGGGACCCTCTCCTGCGAGTCTGTCGCACCTTCCTGTGGGCAGCTCTCTGTCCTGCTGGCCTGTCTCTGCCTCTTTCTCTGGTTCACTACCCTCCGCTCCTCGGGTGACCACAGCACACCGTGTGCAGAAGCTGGAGCGTCTGTGAGCACAGACCTGTCCCCGAGTTGGCATTCATGTGGGTGACAGCCAAGGGCCCACACATGCCCACGTGGATGGGGGCTACTAAGGGCCAGGGACAGCTGGAGCATGCTTGTGTGTGTGACATTCCCTCCTCGACCCCAGCCCTGGGAGAGACAAGCTGTGGTTGACCCCATTTGTAGAGGCGGGGCTGGGCGCAGAGGTGCGAGGGAGCTGTGGGCAGCAGGGCCCGGAGATCCCACGTAGTTTATTGTCTTAGCCACCACACTCTCCACGTGACCTCAGTGAAACATCAGGTGCCCAGATGTAGGTCCTCACCTTTGAACTTCCCCAGAATCAACTTCATCACTGCAGGGGTGGGGACAATGTCTTCCTAGCCTCTCATTCCCAGAACCTAACAGGACACTAGGCATAGGTTCAGTCCAAACCTGCACCCCATGGTCCTAGGAGCCCCCCAGGGCAGATATGGTTCCAATGTGGTAGACTGGAGGGGAAGGCCAAGTGAGTGTGAAAAGATCACCCAGCTTGGAAATGGTATAGAAGGATTTGAACTTGGGTCCACCTGTCTTAAAAGATAATTTTCCTTCCATGCACCCTCCTCCAATCAGAAAATTATAAGGAACTCAGAAAATGCCCCCCCTTCCCAGGTACCAGTGATGATTAGAAACCAACTTGCCCTCCTGGGAGAGGGACAACCCAGTTCTCTCTCTCTCTCTCTCTCTCTCTGAGTTTTGGGGACCCCACACCTCCCTCCTGTGGAGGTGGTGAGGGCTGGGGCTGGGGGAGGCTGCAGACTCACAGGCACTCTGGTCTCTCTGCAGAGGCTGCAGGTGAAGTGGAGCCCTGGCACGGGAACTGCATAGCCTACACAAGCCCCTGGAGCCCCTGCTCCACCACCTGTGGCCTGGGGGTGTCCACGCGGATCTCCAACGTCAACCCCCGGTGCTGGCCCGAGCAGGAGAGTCGCCTCTGCAACCTGCGGCCGTGTGACGTGGACATCCATCTGCACATCAAGGTGGGTCCAGAGCAGGGGCAGGCGTTTTGAACAACAGACGAAGCTGGCCTTGAGTTGGCTACTGGGCTTCCTCATGGGGCCACTTGTAGGATGGGAATAATGAAGCCCACCCAGTAGGCCTGGGGTAATGTTATTTAGGATGATCCGGACATCGAGACAGGGCGTCGTGAATTTCACTCAGTGGAAGCTTTTGTGACAACCATCCTATTAGAATCAAGGTCACTGGGAGGAGTTCATGGACGCTCCCCAATGCTCCTGTAATGATTTTGAGGGACCCCATGGGCTCGCCTCCTCCCTGTGCTCCTGCTAGCCCAAGCCCACCCACATGGGCACACAGGACAGTGTGTGGTGACAGGAGGAGCACTGTACAGGACCGGGGACACTTGAAAACACCTCTCTGCTATTAGTTCCCAGGGCTGGGACTCATCCTTGTGCTCTGGGCCTCCGCCCCCCTTCATCATAATGGAGCTGGTTTCTAAGATAACAGGAATGGAGCTTCAAGGATCTAGTGGGCCACAGGACTCTGAGCCCCTTCCTAGAACTGGACATGGATCTTACCTGCCTCCTTCAACACCCCTCACTCACGCCTCAGGCCTGAGGTCACATTAGAAGCAAAGAAAGCTCCATTTTGGGAGTACAGAGGTTTCTTGGGGATGCGGAAGAGATGCAGACCCTGTAGATGCCCCCTGGCTTCCCACCACCTCATCTGACTTCTGACATTGCTCCTGTGCATAGGACAGCTCCCAGGTCATCTCCTGGGGGGCAGCTGGAGGCAACCCTCCTCTTCTTCTCCCCTCCCTCTTTGTCTTCTCCTTCATCCTCTGAGTATCTCCCCTGTTGGGCTGCACTTGTGTCCTCTGTGCTTGGTGCAGAGCAGGGACTCAGTGGACGTCTCTAAATGGGACACCTGGACAGGAAGTGCCTGCAGCAGGAGAGTGGGGCAAGGCAGCTCTACAGAAGCTAAGGCCAGGCCCTCACTGGAGGCAGGGGACTCCTTCCCAGTTTTGTCTGCATGATTCGGTGCCCTAAGTGGGTCCCCCAAATTGCATGAGCTCCACATACCCTGGGGATTAACTTAATAAGTGCCTACTATGTCTAGGCATGGAATTATCCCATAGAGACGTAATAGAGCCCCAAATCTCAAGTGGCCCAGAGCCTAATGGAAGGATGGAGTTCCTTTTAAACAAATGTCAGTCCAATTTGATTTGTTGCATGGTAAGTATGCCAGAGGCTGTGGACGGCAGGAGGGGGAGGTTAAGGTAAGGCAAGCCTCTGACCATGGGGTCTGCATTCTAGCACTGCCCCTGGCTAGCTGGGGAACTGGGTTCACTGAAAGAGCTACCAGAGCTTCCTGTGCTGGTGAAACTGTATGAAAGGACATTGGCAGGGCTAAAATACAGGACAGAAGGGAGATTGCAGGCTGTGGAATACAGTCCAGAAGGGCAGTCAGTCCCTCCTGTGATCCGACTGGGCATCCCCTGAGCATCCCCTGCTGAAAGATCCCTTCCTTTCCTTCAGGCAGGGAAGAAGTGTCTGGCCGTGTACCAACCAGAGACGCCCATGAACTTCACCCTCGCAGGCTGCGTCAGCACACACTCCTACCGACCTAAGTACTGTGGGGTCTGCATGGACAACAGGTGCTGCATCCCCTACAAGTCCAAGACCATTAATGTCTCTTTCCAGTGTCCAGAGGGGCCTGGCTTCTCCCGCCAGGTCCTGTGGATCAACGCCTGCTTCTGCAACCTCAGCTGCAGGAATCCTAATGATATCTTTGCTGACTTGGAATCCTACCCTGAATTCTCAGAAATCGCCAATTAGGTGTGCACATCATGGAACTGGGGGTCTGGCTCAGTGATGGCAAAGCAGCTGGCCCCTCTGGGGCCAAGAACTTCACAACTGAGCCATCAGATTTTGTCTATTTCTCCCTCACTTCTAATTACCCTGATCTTGACTCTTCTTGTCTTTGACTACCCAAATGACCCATGATGGTGCTGCTCAGGTCTACACAATTGGTCCCTTCCTTGGTGACATTCAGCATTACTCCAAAGAAAATACTTATCTCTAGCTGTTCTGGACAAGCCCCAAGCCTGATCCAGCCGCCCAAGTCATCAAACATCCTTGTGCAAATTGCCCAAGTCCCAAGAACTGGAGTCAGCTGGACATCCACTATCACAAGTTCCCCTTTTGGGTGCTAAACTGGGGAACCCTTTAGTCCCTTCAGAATGATGCACAAAATTGGGGACTAGAAAAATTGTTACTTGGATCTGCCAAAGGGACTCTTATAGGAAATTGTGCCCATAACACCCTAAAAGTAGCTCTGCTTCCTAAGATTTGTGCACCACATAGTCCACAAACCTTGGTCAAGTGAGGCTAATGGTTGTTTGATTATTAATGGAAAACTGTATTCATGAACCTGGGCATTGTCAAGGTTAAATATCTCCTCACTGCTGCACTGTCAGGGTCTCAACTGGGTTCATCCCAGTCGGAAATTCAATTTCATGAACATCATTTTTGTTCATGAGAAAAATCTCCAGTCACTACCCCAGGGACAGGGCAAGGTCAGCCTTGACCTGACCTTGGGTCAGCAACTGACCCAAGCACCACATCTGCTGCTGACCAACAGATCTGTGGGCATCTGGCCAGGCACCTCCTTGCAACATGACCCTCTTTCTGCTCAGGGCTCAGGGGAGTTGGTGGAGTGTTGGAGAGTGGTGTTCTGGAACATTCCTTCACTTTTACAGAACCTCAGCAGAATCCTCTGAAGTCCACCAGACCACACCTACCAGGCCAGGTAAGGGTCAAGCCACAAAGTGGCTCCACCGTTCCTTAGCCTGGCATGGTCTGGGGGACTAGAGATTATAAAGACCACAGAGTCCCTGGGCCCAGGACATATCTTTTCTACTTCAGTAACCTACTTCACAGCCCCTGGGTCTGCGGATCAAAATAACTCAGTTTTCTGGTGTGAAGTCGGAGGTTGACCAGTTGTTTCAAAGTGGAATGATATTTAATGACATTATTCTTTGGTTAATATCCAAAAGGAGCTAAAGCTAAAGGAAGAGAAGGTTGGTATAAATATAAATGAGACTATTATTTATTTTATTAGTAGCATATAATACTGTCATCGTTCTTTCTCTGTGTGTTAGACATTGTTCTCAGTGCTTTGCATACACTTTCTCATAAATTTTCATGATAATAATGAAAAAATCCTATTATTATTGCTGTTCTTACAAATGTGAAATGGAAGCCCCTGGGGTTAAGGAGACATGACCAAAGAAACTCAGCTGTAAGTGAGGGAATTGGAATTCATATCCAAGGTGGAGTACTTCTCAGTCCACATTCCCCCCTGCTGCCAGAGTTTCCCAAAGTGTCAGAATAAGATACCTTAGTGACATAAGTGACTTCTCTCATTTTTGTTCTTCACCCTGTCTTTCTAGCTTCTTTCCAGAAAGAAGAGAGTATCTGATGTTCTGGTATTTTGGTATTTAAGCATCCAATAATATGTAGGATAAACAGAAATCTATGCATCACTATGGGTCACCCCCTCCTCCAAACCTGGACCAGCTCATATCAAATCTCCTTACAGTGGCCTCCCAAAGGCCTAGCCCAGTGCAAGGCATAAAGTGGTGCTCAATATGTATTTGATGAAGCAAATAAATTTGTACATGTTTCTACTTTTATTTAAAAGCTCTCTTCTTTCAATTGTGTGAAAATCTCATTTTTATCAGTGATGATTTTACATTAAATGCCATAGTAAGTGACATCTAGTATTTCAAAGAAAAGCATATTCATATATGTACAAGAATTCTCCTAGGGAATTTACCCCACAGATTATTTCTTCTGTCAATTTGTGTGGATCGTGTAGGATTTTCTTAGAGTGGAGTCATCTGCCACCTACAAACTTGAAGGCCATGTAGCTGCTAAGTGTTTATGAAATTTAGTAGCAACCTAAGAGCCAGGTGTTTACTAAATTTGCACCTTGATTCGGGAGCTGAGCATGACTCTTCCCAGATTGTAGGAAATCTGGTTGAAGGAACTGGGGGTTATCCTAGGAACAGGTGGGATGGGATGACCAGAGTGACTCAGTCAGGATTGATTTTGAGACATGAGACGGGCCTGAGCAGGACCTAGTGGTCACAGTATAGAGGAGATCCGGACCAGACGGAATGAAGCGCTTTCTAACAGGATTATTCTCAGGGGTGTGGCCTTATTCAACAAATGTTAAGAAAAATAATTACAATGAAAACAGTTTCCATTTCTTGAGTCCTTAGCTAGGTAGCACCAAGCACTATGCTAAGTTTGACATTATCGATATCACAACAATTTCAAGTGCACTTCTTTTCCCCAGAGGAAACAGCCTCAAAGGGGCTGGAGGTTGGGGTCCGTACCCACGCTTGTTCCTGCTCTGGGAGGCTTCCATCTGAGGCCTGATGACTCCGAGGAGACTCACACTGCAGGGGTCCAGACAGACAAGACTGTCCCTCCAGTCCCTTGGAAAGAAACACTATGGACTATTTTACCTTGGGTAAAGCAATTCACATTGGTAGCAGACTGGGTGTGGTGGCACATGCCTGTAATCCCTGCTACTTGGAGGCTGAGGCAGGAAGGTCTCAAGTTTGAGGCCAGCCTGGGCAACTGAGTAAGATCCTGTCTCAAAATAAAATGATAAAAGGGCTGGGTGTGTTGCTCAGTGGCAGAGCCTGTTTAGAATGCACAAAGCCCTGGGTTCAATCCCCAACAGAAGAAACAAGAAATTGACTCACATCAGTAGATCAGCCTTCTCTGTTGTGCTTAGTTGTTGGAGAGAGAGAGGGAGACCTGACTTGACCAAACTACTGATTCTTGCTAAACCTATGACAGGTGTTTGCTGAGCCCTCCACACGTGCGAGGTCTGCTGCTAGGAGCTTTACTGCCATATCTCATTTAATTTCCAAGTGAACCTAGGAGCTGTGGGATTATCAAGGCTTTGTTGTAGAGAGAAGACAGCTGAGTCTCATTGACTTAAGTGATTTGCTTAAGCTCTTATCAGCCAGTGAAGCGCAGACCAAACCCAGGGCCACCTGACATCTGAGACATCTCTTCAGGCACTAAGCCTCGTTATCCTGCCCCCAAAGCAAAGGCATGACCTATACAAGAGGAGTTTGCTTGAGGATAGCTGCAATTTTAATTGTGATTCAGAGAGTAGTCAAGGAAAGCAGAGTCAAATGCTATGTTTGTCTACCATATCACTGATCTTGTACTGTGTATCCTCAGAGACTGTGGGGAAGTGACACAGCCTGTGACAATTATGTTGAATCGTGCAACTGCTTTTCAGAGTCTTGTTCTGATGCAAAGTGATCACAGTGATATCTCTGCAAGGCTGGAATCATGAGTGGCCATAATGATTAATGCATTTCCGTGTGTGTGTGAGTGTGTGTGTATGTGTGTGTGTCTATTTCTCAAACTATGATTTAATATTTAAATACTCCTGCTGCCATTTTTGTAAGTGATTTAAAGACACATATGAAGAAATCTTAGGATTTAGCAACAGCGTTGGGCAATCTGCCTTGTCTCATGATAGTCCTCCTTTTTCTCATGATTTATGTAGCATGGAACATATTTGTTCAACAAGAAGGGTTTTCATTGCTCAAAGTCATTGTTTACAGCTTTTCTTGTTAAAGCAATAAATCACCAGTAAAGTAACGTACTGGATTTGGTGGAATTTCTTGGAATACCTTGGAATTTCATTAGGAGGCACCAGTGGAGCACTGAGCATATTAAACCAATGTGTAGAGGGTGGAAATTAGGTCCCAGATATTTTATCTGGAAATAAAAATAGCTTAAAAGTTTGGAGATGATGGAGTTAGAAACCAATTCTGGAATTCACCAACGCCCCCAGGCTAAAAGAGACCTCGTCAATACAAAATGGAATTTTGAGCATTCATTTCTTCATTCATTCACTTTCTCATTTATTCAGTTTCTTTCTATATCCCCCAAGTACAGCAGGAGCTCCTGAGGTCAGGGAAATGACTGCTTGCCACAGTGTCTGGTTCGTGTCAGGGACCCAGCAAGCAGGGCTGGGATGATGGCCAGAGGGTCTGTTTCCAGCTGGGAGCCCGGAGAAGACCAAGGCTGCAGGGAGCCTGGAACCTGTCCTGACTGTGGGCCTCCTGGGATCCAGACCTGCTCTAGTCCTTGCTGGGATTCCTCATTTACCTGAGCCGAAGCTGCCTCAACGGTGACAGGGCAGAATGACAGTGTCTGATTCTTGACAGTATGCACACTGCAGGTGCGATTTTAAAACAGAACTTAGAACATGGTAAGAATTTAACCGACACTTCTATTATTAGCTGAGTCTCAGATTCATCATAAACAGGGTGATTGACCACCAAGGTACAGTAAGAATTAGTCTCCATGTGTGGGTCTACACATTTAACTCAGTTACCTCTTGCTTAAAAGAGTAAACAGAGCCGGGCATGGTGGCACATGCCTGTAATCCCAGCGGCTTGAGAGGCTGAGGCAGGAGGATCACAAGTTCAAAGCCAGCCTCAGCAAAAGCAAGGGGCTAAGCAACTCCGTGAGACCCTGTCTCTAAATAAAATACAGCACAGGGCTGGGATGAGTGCCCCTGAACTCAATCCCCAGTACTAATAATAATAATAATAATAATAATAATAATAATAGAAAGGGGAAGTGGCCCCAGCATTCATTTGAATGCTCTTCTCCTTCCCTCACAGGCTGCTTGGTCACTTAGTCATTCAGTGCTGTGTTTTGTGCTCAAACTTCATTCACAGCCCAGCTCCCTCAGGGCAGGAAGGACCGTGTCCTTCTCTCCTCTCTCTTCCACGTCCAGCACAGGCAGCATACGCTCGGTTAAGTGAGCAGATGCCCTCACCCACAACCCCCAAAACACGATGATATCACAATAAATGTCAAGGGGAGACTAGATTTAAAAAAAAAAGTCACATGAATTGTTTCCAAGACCTTCTATCCTAAAGCACACTTGTTTTTCAAAATCAGAAGATGGATGGTTGGAGTCCTTTTGGGGGGAGATCCCCCAAGGATAGGTAGTTGAAGTTTTGGGGAAATGGAATTTGGAAAAAAATGACCTAAATATTTTTATTATGAAGCGTTTTATCCTAAGCAGCATATAGTGGCTGCTGGGAGTGGTGGCACATACCTATAGTCCCCACTAAGGAGTCTGAGAGGAGGATCCCTTAAGCCCAGGGATTTGAGGCCACCCTGGGCAGCACAGCAAGACCTCATCTCCAAATAATAAAAATACACAGCAGAGATGCCAGCATTCTGCATTCCCCCACCCCATGGGCAAAATAAAAACGTAAAGACTTCCTCTGTACTCAGAAACCCAAATTCTGGCTGAATCTGGTTCTTTCAAAATGCAGGACTGAGCAAAACCGGCTTCTGAGCTGAAGGAGCTGGCACAGACCAGGGCCCCAGGCCCCATCCTCTGATCCGTCCCAACAGCTCCAAGCTCTGCTCTGAGCCTCGGTACAAGTGGATTCTGCACAATACTGACAATGTGTATTTCTTAGTCCACTTCACAAAAAGAGAGAAAGCTTCCTGATAACCTTGAGAAAACAAGGAGACAAATTAAGAACCAGATAAAAACATAAAGGTGAGTGGCCCAAGTTGGAGGTTACTGTTCCTTGGGGGACTGAACACATCGCTGGCCTGATCACCTTATGTCCCGGGAACCACCTGATGTTCTACAATCCCGAGGTGTCAGTGGGAGGCTGCCTGGTCGTGCGGGTGCTCAGCCAGCTGTTCTAACAGGCAGCGAGGGACAGGGCCCATTTTAGCAAAGACCCGACAAGTTGTTTACTGTCGCTGAGCTTTGGTTTTCTCCTCTGTGAAGCCAGGAGAACTCCTTACAGACAAGAATGAAATGGAGAAAAGCTGAGACTTTCTGACCAGAGGAAGCACATATCTGCTTATTTAACAAAAACCTCTTCTTGTGTGTTTGACACTGGGCTGGCCCTGAAAATCCAAAAGTAGGAGGTCACTAGTTTGGGGGAAGGATGCACAAAGTGCCAGGCATTGCAGGAGCTGCATGTGCTACCCCTGCCAGGAGGCCCTGCTCCCTTCCACGTGGGGGGGCCGGGCACCCGGGAAGGGCTCTGTAGGAGTGGGAAAGGTGTGTCAGTGGATTTGATTGTGCACAAAGGACATAACGGTTCACCTGTCACAGCTACACCGAGGCCTCTGGACCCCCTGCTGCATGGGGTGGGGGGCAGCGTGAGCCCAGTCATGGTTGAGAGACACTTGAGCCAAGCTGGGCCAACTAGTTTCCTCCCCTAAGAGGCACAAAGAGCCGATTGGCTTCAGTTCCAGAACTAAATGTTCAGGCTAGCTGGCCCAGGGGCTACCGTTCCATGCTTCAGTGTCATGAGCAATAAACACGAGGAAGGCATGTGCCTTGACATGAAGTGACAAAGGGGGCATTTCACCTCCGTGGCCCTCCCCCTGGAGAAGAACCTACACAAACCACAGCCCAGGGAACTCCGACTAAACACCTGGTCAGTGCCGCTCAGGAAAGTCAACAGGCGAGGAGAGTCCGAGAGACTGGCCAGCCAGAAGGGCAAGAAGACACGAGGCTGGATGTCAAGGGCGTCCTGGAAGGGACCCTGTGTTGTGGTTTGGAGGTGAGGAGTCCCCCAGAAGCTCATTGTGAGGCCATGTGGGAAGGTTCAGAGGAGAAACGATTGGGTTCTGAGAGCCTTAACTGAAGGTGGTGGGCTGTGGCTGGAGGAGGGCAGGGGACGTGGCTGTGGGGTATATTTTGTACCTGGCGACTCTCTCTCTCTGCTTCCTGATCATCAGGTGAGCTGCTGAGCTCGGCCACACTCTTCTGCCAGGATGTTCTGCCACCTGGAGCCCGAGGAATGGAACTGGCCGTGTATGGGCTAAGACCTCTGAAACTCTGAGCCTTGAATAAACTTCCCTCCTCTACAGTTGTGCTGGTGGGTCCTTTAGTCACAGCAGCAAAAAGGCTGACTAATACCAAGTCTCAGCTTAGTGAGCAGCAGTGCTCCGCTGCTGGCATCAGCTGTGACAATGGTACCACAGTGACACATGGATGACAGGGACATGAAGGGCGGGACATGTGTTGGGATGCTCTGTACACTTGTTGCAACTGGTCTGTCTTAAATCAACCTTAGATTAAAAGTTTAGATATAATAGAAAGTTATATTAAAACCTGTTTATAATTTTTTCTAAATATACAGTAAAAAGCGAGCATTCGAGTCGTTGGCTTTGCTCACGGGTGGACTTCGCACATACTTTCTTGTAATGAAAATAAAATTTTAAAAAAGACGTTTCCCTCTGACTTTAGATTGAAAAGCTCTACCTTCTCCATGCCCTGTTCACCAACTGCTGGGCATCTGAAATGTGGTACGTGTGCCTGAAATAGGCCTTGAGGGAGAACTACATCCTGGAGTCTCAGAATGGGGAAGGAATGTTAAATGTCTGGTTACTACTTTCATAAAAACGGCAATATTTGGATAGATTGGGTTATATGGGGTGCATTATTAAAATGAGTTTCCCTGTTTCTTCCTACTCTTTGAATGTGGCTACTAGAAATTTGAAGTGACCTCTGTGGCTGATAGTTCTGCTTCTCCTGGACTGGGATGCTTTAAAGCAAAAATCCCAGGGGCGAATGAGAGTGGCAGGGCCCTGGGTATCAAGATGTGCAATCCCTTCACCGGAAGACTCATCCCCAAGCTTGATGTCACACACAACCTCTCAGGTAGAGGAAAGGGACACAAGCCACTGCAAAGTTACAAATTTATTGGTCTGGAAATAAATACAAATATCTCATTAAGAAAGTCCTCTGGAAAGACTTGGACAATAGTTTCTGGTCTGCATTCAGCCACTCTTGCCTGGATCCCTGCACGAGGTCAGGGAAGCCTCCGCGTGGCCAGGTGGCAGGTAAACTGAGTCACTGCCTCTCAAGCACCTTGATGGCAGGACTACTTCCTTCTGCCAGCTCGAGGGACCTGGAAATCACCAAGGCCCAGAGGCTGATTCTCAATATTCGATTCACTCTGATCAAACTTCCTATAAGAAAATCCACGGTTAGCCAAAATGAAAATCAAAAGGCAGTAGTTCAGGAACTGGACAGCTGTGCTGACGCTGCTCAGAAGAGTCGGTGGCACTGCCCCATTCAGCAGAAGGAGGTTAGAGGGGCGGGGAGAGGGGTGGCAGCAGACGCAAGGAAACTCCTGTGGAATGTGTTATTCCAGAACCCTCGGTTTTCCCAGCCCACTCCCCACATGAAATCCCATCCCCAACAAGAGCAAAGAGTTCACCTGGAGACAGTCATGACCCTAGGTCAGAGACATCCAGCTTTCAAGTTCAGGTCAACCCCCCAAGTCAACGATTGGAGGCTGGACTTAACTCAATCACAGATTCCTGGGAAACAGCCTGGGATCCACAGAAATCACCAGGGCACTGGATCCCAGCACAACCACTAGAATCCCTTAACTTCTAGTCATCGGGGCCCCTCCCGCCCCCCTCCCCACCCTGGAGACCCATCACGGCCAGGGACAGCTGACCAAACGTCTCCCTCCACTCCAGAGCGTGAGCTACAAATCTAAAAGATGTTCCCCATGAACAAAAAGAATCACTCAGTCACGTAGGTGGGGGGGAGGCAGGGGCTGCCGGGGAGGCAGACGGCAGGGCTAATGCCTCCGACATGTGCCAAGGAGCACTCACCCCAAGCTGTTTTATAAATACAGCGGGGTCTGTGGCCGGCTTTCCTCGTATGTTAAAAGGAGACCAGAGCAACAGGCTCCCGTGCCTCAGAAGCTTATATCTGCACTGACAGTAAAAGCTGACTTCTTCAAGTGAATTACATGGACTTATTTTTCTTAATGTTCAGCCTCCACCTAAATTCCACCTCTTTTTCTACCTTCCTGTTTTGCCTATGTAAAAGAAGTAGCCACACTCCACCTCGTCAGAAATGGGTGGCTTCTAGGACTTGGGCCAGTCTGTCTGCAGTTGGAGAGGAAGCAGGAAGTAGGTGGGCTGGGGACACACCAGGCGTTGGAACCTGGAAGCCGCTCAGCTGCTCAGCCCGAGCTGGATTGCAAAGTGTTTGCTGCTGGTTTTTGTTTTGGGCAGCTGGGTGTCTCTGAGGGCGGGTTAAAGAGTGGCAGCCAGGCCACTAGTTAATGAAAACAGGACACAAAGATGCCTCTTTCTGTAGGTCCCCCACTGCCCACCCTTATCAAAGAGGCACCCTAGACAGACCCAACCTGTCGTCACCAGAGCTCACTCTTACAAAATAAGCTTTGGATTAATACCAAGTTAGTGCAGGGTGCAGGCAGAGGCGGGAGGGGCTGGAGGGGAGCCGCTACAGAGACCAGAGTCCAGGGCGCGGGCGCAGCCGCCTAGCAGGACACCTCCATGGACTTGGGGCCCGCGCTGTTCCCAGTGGCACCCGAGTTGGGGGTGATGTCCAGATGGGCTCCTTCGCTGGTGTGGGAGCGGCTGCGGGCGCCCTCACTGGTGTGGGAGCGGCTGCGGGTGCCCTCGCTGGTGTGGGAGCGGCTGCGGGTGCCCTCCTGGGAGGTGACGCTGGAGCCGGATGCGGTGCGGGACCTCATCAGACGGGTCATGCTGGCAGAGGGCACTGGGAAGACAGAAGACAGCAGGTTAGGGGACGGAGACCTCTACAGAGGGACCAGATGGACCCCCGTGGATCAGCCTGGCTGAGTCCTCTTCCCGTCCCATCTTAATCCTCTGGGCTGTCCAGCCACCTGCACCTGATGTCTCTGTGTCCATCAGAAGGGGACAGTGAGGTCCAGATGGAAAAGGACTTGCAGCCATCACATGGCGAGGGAGCTGAACCCAGGTCTCAGCTGAATCCCCATTCTGCACCTGCTCAGCAGTGTTGTGACCCTGGGAGTGTCCCAATCTGAGCCTCCCTGTCCCCATTTCTAAGGTGGTCCCTCCATGTCAGCAGTCAGGAGGGAGGACACAGAGGCCCAAGGTAATCCCTGCACCTCAGTGGGGGACAGGCTACACAGCAAGGTCTGGGCAGAGCTGCTTGTTGTCTGTCTGCTCTCAAAGGCTGCAAGCTTCCAGGGACAGGTGACGGCACTGCCCACTCTCTGAGAGCTTCTCCAAGACTTAAAATGCCCTCGTCCACAGCAGGTGGCTGACAAGGTGGAAAGACAACAGAACAACCCTCCCCACCTGTATGGGCCCACGGAGCATTGTCCCCGATTCATGTCCACTTGGAACCTCAGAATGTGACCTTACTGGAAATAAGATCTTTGCAGAGATAATTAGCTAAAATGAGTCATTCTAGATTAGAATGATCCCTAACCCAGTGGTTGGTGTCTTACTTAAAAAAAAAAAAAAACAGACAGAAGCAAGGGACAGGGCCAGAGTAGATGGAGCCGGAGACTGGGGTGCTAGTGCTCACGCCACAGGAGGCCCAGGGGCTGGGCTAGGCAGAGGCAAGGACGGGTCTCTCCCAAAGTCTTTGGAGGAAGCCTGGCCCTGCCAGTACTTCAGCCTCAGACTTTTAGCCTCCCAAACTGGGAGAGAATACTTTTGTGTGGTTTTAGGCACCTCTGTTTGTGGGGATTTGTGGGGGCAGCCCTGTGAAACTAACACCCCATCCAATGGAAACTGCCTGGTTGAGGTCGCGTATGGACAGTGGAGGCCAGCAGCTATGAATGTGTGTGTGTGTGGGGGGGGGGGCACCTCATTCCATGGGCATGCGGGCCGGCTCTCTATGGCAGACACACACAGAATTGATCCTTGCTGTACTGAATTCCTTCCTCAAAGAGTGAATTTTGAATCCGGAAGGGATCGGAGTTAACCCCCACCCGTGGCTCCCATGTTTTCCCTGAATCTACTTCTCCACCCCAAATCCGGAAGGCTAGCTGACTCCCCGGGGCTATGGCACCATCCAGTGATCCGGGTTTGCCAAGGTTAGTGCTGCTGGCCCACCACACACTAGGCTCTCAGTGAAAGGTGGCTTTCTTCCTCTTGGCCAGAGCCTGGGATTGTAGCTCTTCCTCCTGTTCTCTCCAAGACCCGCAGGGTGCTTTGGCCCAGAGAAGCTGAACTTGGGGATAAAGCTGGAGTAGAAGCTGGCTTGGGGGAAATAGAAACAAAACCTTCCTTTCTCCCTGGAATACATGTTCAAAACAGAAATCCAAGCCCCATGGCAGGTTCCAGGCAAGCCAGCCAGGTTCACATCACTTCCTGCAAGGTCAAGGGAGCCGAGGGGCAGGTGGGCAGGACGGGAGGAGGTTCTGTTGGAAGAGGGCATCCCAGGACATGAGTCCTGCCCCATGCATGCAAATCAGGCTCCCTCCTCTCCACCGTGCTAGAAACCAGCCGTGGCCTAGACCCATCTGGGGACCACACTGGTTTACCAATAATACTATTTTACTCTTTTAACAGGAAGAACAGTTTAAGGAAAAAACAAAAGATGGAAATTTCAAAGTCTTCCTGGTTAGGAAGAGCACATGAATTGTAATTCCCAGCCATAGGCAAGGAAAGGAGAGAGGACCCTGTTGATGTGCCCACTAGTACTGACCATCTCTGCTGCTGAGCTGGAGAGTTTAAACTGGCCATTGTAAGTCCTGGTCAAGGCCTGGCATTTCTAAGAAAGGGCCCGATGTGTCTGACTAACAAAATGTAGCCATAAAGCAAGAAGGAGCGAGACCTTGAACTAAGCTTACATCTGTCTTTCCTTTCCCAAATCTAATGATTAGGCAAAGACATTCCATCTCAGCTCTAAGCAACTTCATCACCCACATAAACAGTATTGGTTTACAAAGGGCGCCCTGCCGCTACTTGCTTAACCTCTCCAAGCCTCAGTCTGTGCACTTATGAATGGAGGTCAAGAATCCCTTGTAGGATTACTGTGATGCTTAAATGAGAAAAATAAAGGCTATATTCATCTTTCTCACTACCACTACCACCAGTTCTCCACCTTCATCCTCATCACCACAACAGGTAGACTCTTAGGCAAGTACGTAATCAAAATGCAAAAGACGTTCATCACTTTGCTCTTCATCATGTTCTTGGTGTTTACAGGCACAACCCTCATCTAAACCTAAAATATCCCTGTGAAACACCTTTTCAACCAGCCACCTGCAGTCACAGGCTGCATAATGACGTTCTGATCAACTAAGGCCATCCATGGATGGACACAATGGTGGTCCCTTAAGACTATGTGCTTAGTGATGTCATAGCCCTCTTGCTTTGGATAAGCAGCTGTCTGATGTTTGCCCAGTGACAAATCTGACCACGATGCATTTCTCAGGACGCCTCCTGCCATTCAGCCATGCGTGACTGTAAATATGTCTTTCTCTGCCCTGCCCAGTGTTCCAAGAGCTGAAGCTGGACAGAGTGATACAGAAGTCTCATCCAAACCTGGCCAGTGCACAGCCTCTCCCCTCCCACCCCTGCCCCTGCCCCTCCGCGCCGGGGACGCCACACTCACTGTATCCCATGCCCTGCACGAAGTACTTGAAGGCCTCGGCGAGCTTGGCTGGCTGTGAGGGAGAAGAGACAGAGCAGTCAGCGGCTGGAGGGACAGGTCGCTAACGGCCACCTGCCTGCGGTCACCTTCATGCAAGAGCCCGGCCTCAGCCACCATGTGTTCAGGGGACAAACCACAGAAGTAAAGGAAAAACTGTGGGATAATTACGGGGCCCAAATTAGCTCTGGCCAGCAAAGAGCAGTTCCAGTTCTTTTCCTAGTTGAGTTACATGACCTGTCTGGCCAGCTTCTTCTGTAAAGTGGGGGTGGCATGCCCACCTACGGCCACGTGCCTCTGTGGGACCACGCTGGACAGTGCTGCGCCCAGCATCAGGACCGAGCTGCAGCAGCGTCCCGTGACTCACTGTGCTCGGGGACCTGTGGCATCAGCTCACTTACTCTGACACCTCAGGAGGGTAGTGCTACTGTAGGACGTGTCCCAAGCCACAACTAGTACAAGGTGGGTCCTGCAGATGGACCCTGAGGTCTCCATGTCCTCAAGGCAGCTCACGGTCAGTAGCAGGAAGGAAGGATGGATGGAGGATGGATGGATGGAGGATGGGCTGAGGAACAGTGGATAGGTGGGTGAAAAAAATGGATGGACAGGAGGAAGGAAGGATGGACAGACTATGGATGGAGGGTGGATAAAAGCAAAACAGGACTGATGGAAGAAAGGAAGGAGGAGAGAGAGATGGACGATAAAAATGAAAACAAGAAAGGTGGAAAGAGCTGGCTGCACGGTGGCACTGGGATGGGAGGGAAGGCGAATGCCTGGTTCTGACGTAGGAGGTCAGGGCAGGTGCGCAGGCTCAGTAACCCAACCCTGAGCCCCTGCCTGCATCTGCTCCTCCTCTCTCCTCTGCATCAGTGGCAGGTCCCTGCCCCACTCCCCACACTTCCACCAGCTCCTGTCGCCAACCTACAAAGACCCAGATGACATTGGGCTATGCAAAGATTGCCCTTTGGGATTTGAGTGACAATGGGAAAAAGGGGCAGCGGTATTAGGGTAGCAGACAGGGGACCTCTGTGTCTAAGACGGGAAATATGCACACATGCGCCATTTGGTGTCCAGTCCTCGGTCCCTCTGCTCTGGGCTTGGGCTCCCTGGGAAGCCTGCGATCTCTGGGACAGGCACCCAGATTCTGACCCACGACCACCAGGCTGTGGGCCCCTGGCACGCCCGCACCCGTGAGCCCCCGCAGCCTCACTCCTCAGGGCTTGCTGGGGAATCAGGGAGACCTCGAGCATGTTACAGCCAATAACACGTCCATAGACCGTCACCCAGCGGCACAGTAGGTAGTGAGGGACCAGGGTTAACAGGGTCACCCAGGGAAGTGAACTCGGCCACGGAGTGGTGACCTTCAACACAAAGCCAGGTGGCACTCACCTGGGAGATCTGCGGGAGGCCGCCACAGTCCGCCATCTGGAAGGGAGAGAAGCTGGTTAGTGCCAATACCTCACCCAGGCAACCTGTGCTCTGTGAGCCAGAGCCACACAGGCACCCAGTGCTCACTGTCCACAGGGGTGACTATGGGTGGCACACCACGACCCACCAGGCAGGACTGCTGCCCACCCCAGGCCTGCCCTCCCAGCAGCCAGCTGTGCCCCCTTGGCAACACGACTGGCTGCTCAGGAGGTGCCAGGCCTGAGGCTGGACTGAAGCTCACATCACTCGTCCCCAGACATAGGAGGTCCCAGTGCCCCACCAGGAGGCAGAGCCTGGGGCCAGAGAGAGTTCCAGGAGCCTGCTAGAGTCTGAAAGGCATCCTTCAGAAACGCTCTGACTTCCAACTGAATCACCAAGCCTAAAGCCACCGCCACATTCACAAGGCCATTTGGGTCCCTGTGAATCCCTGAGGTGGCTGAGCAGGGCTGGGTCTCCAGGGAGCAGTGTGGAAGCTGGAGAAAGATGAGGCTGCTAAGAGGTGATGGCGGGGAGGCTGAGGCTACCTTCTGAGCGCCACCTGCAATGCCCCTTCACCTGGGCATCTCGCAGCTCCGTGAGAATTCAGGTAGAACTGGGCTGGGGCAACTCTGCGGAGCAGGTGCATAGTGGAAGGATCTTTCTAGAACCACGCTGAGGTGGTTCTGATCCTGCATCCACCATCAGATCAGCCTCTTGTTGTCACTCAGGCCACCTGTCCTTTGTTGTGGGTTGAACTGTGTCCCCCAAAGTACCCTGAGTGGGACCTCGCTTGCCGATGTGATGGAGCCAAGCTGAGGTCATGCTGGATCAGGGTGGCCCTACAGACCACTGTCCTTAAAAGAAGGGGGGATCCGGATGCACACCAGGGCCACCCAGCCATGTGATGATGGAGGTGACCGAGACCCACGCACAGGCCGAGGAAGGCCAGGGACTGCCAGGGACTGCAGAGACCACCAGGCCCCGCAGAGCCTCAGACAGGGCGGGGCTGCCCACACCCTGATGTCGGCCTGCCAGCCTCCACGACAGGGAGGAAATAAGAGTCTGCTGTTCTAAGCCACCTGGTTCATGGAACTTGGTCACGGCAGTCCCCAAAGCATAGCATTATGAAGGCGGGCTGAGCGACTGCCAATCTTGCAACTTCCTTTTGGGGGGATCTTGAAGGAAAATATATGCAAAAAGCCCAGCGCAGGAACCAGCCATTCCCATTCTACCTTGAAAGATTGCTGGGAGGGACAGTGGCCTCCAGCAGCCATGTTCATGTCCTTCCCCCCCAGTGCTGGGGAACGACTTCATCACACAGGTCCCTCCCGGTCACCTGCCCTCCGCGGGTACACCCAGGTCGGGGACGCCCATAGGAAGGAGCCTGCTCTTGTGCTGTCCCCAGATGAGGCTGTCACAGACAGGCAGCTTTGGCTGTGCAGGCAGCTGACCTCCAGGGTGCCAGGACACTGGCAAGGGTGCCACAGACCCTGACCCAGCTCCAAGAGAGCAGGTGTGCGCAGGGGGCTTCCTGGAGGCAGCCTTGCCCTTCCTTGGCCTTGAGACATGTCCTCAAAGGACAGGCAGATCCCCGGGGAGCATCCTGCCCCAACCTGGGGAGCACAGAGACCCCTCGAGGACATTCCCAACCCAACCAAACCCTCCCCATGCCCCACAACCCGCAGCCCCAGAGGGGGATCCGGGTCTACTCATCTCTGCAGCCTCAGGCCACCTGCCAGCGCCCACAGAGGTCTGTAAGTCATCCATCAAGCCCTCACTTCTGTGGGTTCTGGCCACCACTTAGCCCCAACCAGGCCCAGCTCCACTTTTCTGAGCCCCTGGGAGTTTCTCAGGAGGAAACAATGCAAAGCCCACTGTTCCCCGTACCTTGAGGAGGGTGGTCTTCGTGGGATCCAGTTTTGAGTTGCACTCCACCTGGGTGACGGGGAAGAACTTGGTCAGATTCTACCTGACTCAAAGTCAAAGCCCTCCTCCTTCCCTGTGCTCTATGCCACCACCAGAGGCTCCGTGTCCCTCATGCAGAAGAGTGAATGTGGGCTTTGGGGTTAAACAGATGTGGTTTTAAATCCCAGCCCTGCCATTGCTAGCCGTGCGGCCTCAGGCAAGTAGTTGAACTTCTTGAGCCTCCATTAATGGGGACAGCATCTTCTTTCAAAGGGCTGTTATGAAGACTAGGCAGAAAACAGAGGATGCTCTAGAAACATCTGCTAAATGAATGGCCATGCTTAACTAGCCACTATCGGGGATTCTACAGTCTTCACATCCCAGTTCCTGTTCTTCATATTAAATCACATCTACCAAGATGATTCCTGTCTTCATTTTGTCAGTGGCCCTCTGAAAAGTGGCATCCAAAATTAAGCAGTATACCTATATTCAAAATTCCTAAAGAAGAACCATCAACCCCCTTAATGTGAACAATATGTCTCCATTGATACATCCTGTGATTATCTTCAGTGAGTCACACGAGACGAAAAACTCATGGTTCATTAGAGACACCCAGGTCTTTACTACATTCTGTAGCTTGCTGCAGAAGACATGTCACCAATCTAGGACTATGACCCCTCTCACCCAAACCTCCCAGCTCCCAAATGTGGGGTACCATATAGTTCGAGTCCTCTCTGTCTCCACAGCACCGAGGTGAGTATTAAGGGGTAAAAGGAACCAGAAAGCTCTGTCTAAGCCCGATCCCCTGCCACGCTCCCCGCCAGACAACCGGGCAGCAGTCCAGGTGGGAGGAGCCACCTGACTCCAGAGGAGAGGGGAGTCCCGTGGCCAGGAAGCCAACGTGTTCTGCACACCCAGGAAAACAAGCCCGTGGGTGGGGACCCCAGAGAGGAGCCAAGGAGAAAGCCCCGGGCTGGGCTCCCTGCCCAGAGGCCAGGTGACATTTAAACCATCCCCGGCACTGACGGCAGCCAAGAGGTAGGGGCGGCGGGGAGACTGCCCACAGCATCACCAGACGGATGATCATCGGGGTGCCCGATGACCGGCAGAAACCAGGGGTTGATTGCCACATACCACAGCGTCCACGGCAGGAGAGTTGTCCCCGACCACCAGCAAAGCAGGGCACCTGAGGTCAGGAGAGAAAAAAGGAGTGAGCACAGGTCACACTCCCAGGCCTCCTGGCCGGGCCAGGACTCTAAGGAAGCCTCCTGGTTTCCCCAGCATCTTGGCTCCTCGACGTCACTCTCCCCAGTCTCCATTCTGCTCTAGTAAAATGGGTGAGTAGTCCTTACACCTCAGTCGAAGTTTCAACCAGAGAAGGTCTGTGTCCTGGAGCTCCTATTGAAAGTGCCCTCTCCTCCATGCCAGGCCCGATGGCACACACCTGTGATCCCTCAAGCAATTTAGTGAGGTCTTAGCAACTCAGTGAGACCCTGTCTCTAAATAGAATACAAAATAGGGCTGGGGTGTGATTTAGTGGTTGAGTGCCCCTGAGTTTAATCCCAGTACCCCCCCAAAAATAAAATAAAAAGTGCCCTCTCCTCAGGGAAGGATGCACATGGCCAGTAATCAAGACAGAGATGAGAACGGTGTGAAGGATGAAGTCAGTGACCTGTGTCTAGTGCCCCAGGGTCAGACCCATGGTGCATCTGGGAGGCACAGGGACACTGGCACCATGGGTGGGACCTCAGCTAGCTGTGTCCACCTCCTCCTAGATTTGCAGGCTCTCTCAGGGTACTCTGTGCCATTGATCACTCCCAGGCACCAACATGGTGGCTCAACAAAGGTGTGAGGTCCACACTGCAGTCACCTCCAAGAATATGGCTGGCGTTCCTCCTCAGAGACCACCCCCATGGAGCCCCCCACCCTCCAGAGCTGATGCAGCCCCACAAGGAGAGGTCAGCTCCTGGGCAGGACACATGGGGGCCCATGGCCTGCAGTGTCCACCCCTAGGGGGGGAATCCTGCTAGGCTCTGCAACAGGCCCTGGAGCAGCCACAAGCAAGACAACAGTCAGCGGGTGCCACCTGCAAGGGTGGGGAGGGGCCACTCACTGAAGGGTGACGGTGTGGGTTCCTGGCATGGGCCGCTCAATTTCCAGGTCCCGGCGGCTATGGACAGGAAAGGCATCGTTAGCATCAGCGGACCCGACCCTGGAGAAGCCCTGGGGGTCCCACTACTGGCCTTTCTGGACATACCCACACCAAGACCTTCGTGGGGTCATGTGGCTGTCAGGACACCACTGCCTCTTGGTGTGCACAGAAGCAGTTAAGGGGAACTCAGGGCTCCTACATTCCCAACAGAACCCACCTCATTTTGTCCCACATTACTGTCTTCTAATAGCACTACAAATCATGCCCTCCATTACCGAGGGACCCTATCTCCCTGTGCCCCTGGTCAGAGTCCCCACCTGACAAATGGACCAGCCTCCCCATGGTCTCCCAGCCTCCACTGGTAACCTGAGTCCTGTCTCACCAACCAACCCTGAGGTCTCTACGGGGTGGCCGATGATCTCTGAAAACCCAGACTTGCTCTTTCTGCTCCTTGTGGCAAAGTCTCCAGTGGCTTCTCAGTGGTGTGAGGTCCACACGGCCAGCTCAGCACCCAGAAGCCTCCCTGATTCCTCCCACCAGCCTGTGCTTCGCTGCTCTCTCTGTTCTGCTCCCAGTGCCCTTCCTGAAGGTCAGCCACATGGACCTTCCACTAGTATGTGGCAGCATCTTCCTGGACAAGGGACGCTCCCTTGGGACAAGATGTCTGGCTCCATGGTCTGGGGCAGAGGCTCAGACCCTCACTAAGCTTCCACACCCGGTGTCCTTACCAGGCGGCCCTGCCCTGTTAACTCGGAGCTCAGACCCAGGGCCGGCACCCTCTGGGAACTCCGAGCCTCCTCCGTCCCCTGGTTCCCAGCCTGCGGCAGGGGCCGAGGCGGGCGCGGTACCTGTTGTAGGCGTTGATGAACAGGTGCAGGTTGCCGGGGTTCATGTCGTTCAGGATGTGCTGGCGGTAGGTGTGCACCACCTCCACGTTGCTGTGCATTTCCTCCTGCGTTTGGAGAGAGGGAAACAGGCTCAAGGCGCTGCGGCCTGGGCGGGACACGGCTCTGCCTCCTCCAGGTTATTCAGGCACAAAGTGAATCCGGGAGACCCGGTGGAGCCCAAGGAGGGCCTGAGGAATGCAGTGGGCAGCACTGGATTGTGAGGCCCACAGGCAGCAGGGGGACCAGCCCTGGAAGGCACAGCACAGCCCAGGACCCCCTGGCTGGGGAGTCTCAACTTGGAGGCAGGCCCCTGGGCAGACAGCTTGGTCCCACCACTGCCCCTCTCTTGGGCAAATCCTTTAACCTGTCTGGGCCTCAGGTGCCTCAAAAGTGTGTGTTTGGGGTGGGGGGATGGGGGCTGCCTACCTCACCAGGCATAAGACCCCAGCAAAGGGTGCACAAAGTCCTTTGCAAACCAGCCAATCTGACGCAAATGTCAGCAATTACTTTTCTCATGGAGGGAGTTAAGGTTTTTATACTTGAAAAATCAAAACCATCTCCTGCACTAGGAAGTCACTGGAAAGAGGGGGAGTCTTGTTCCCAGCAGACAGCCGAACGCGGCAGAGGTCCGCTGAGGCCTCGCTCGCTGGCTGCTTTCTGTACGGGAACATGATTTGGGACAAACAGGCCATGTGCTGCTTGGTTTCTAGTGCATGCAGTGGCAGGCGCTGTGGTTGTCACGAAAGGATCTGATGTGACCAGTGGCAACCAGAGCAGGGCAGAAGAAGAAAGAAAACCAGCAACAAGCTCCGGCTGCTGAGAGTGGTTCACAGTCACTGGAGCAGGAAGGAGGCCAAGAGGCTATTAAAAGAAAAATCAGGAAATGGTTCCAGGAATCGAGCTGGGATCTCTGATGCAGTCAGACGGGTGGCAAGGGGAACAGGAGACTCCACGGCCCGACCTCCCGGGCTCCAAGCTCCTGGTACAGTCAGGATGGATGCCCGGGCTGCATCTCTCACCTTACCTTCAGGGAACCAGAGATGCTGGCTGGGAATTGTTAAGAATTCCTAACATGCTCAGGGCAGAGGAAAGGCCTCTCCAACTGGGGTGAACCACAGAGGAAAAAGACGGCTGTAGTGAGCCGAAGAGTGGCCCCCAAAGACGTCCACATCCCCCCAGCACTTGCGGGCATTACTTAGGAAAAGGGTCTTTGCAGATGTAATTAACTAAAGAATCATCTCAAATCTATGGTCAGTGTCCTCAGCAGAGGACAGAGAGGGAGAGTTGAGCCAGGCAGAGTCCTCCTCGGCCATATGCAGATGGAGGCAGAGATCAGAGTGAGCAGACACAGCAAGGAAGGGGACCCCTGGAAGCCAGGAGAAGTGGGGAAGCTCCCCAGGGCCTGTGCAGGGTCAGCAGCCCACCAACATCTCTGCACCGTGAGAGGGTGGCTTCTGTTTCTGGAAGTCCCTTGGTATACAGCAGCCACAGGGAACTGGACACAATGGCCAAACCTGGTGGACACCCCTCACCAACCCCCAAGCAGGGCATCTTCTGTTGCCCTGGACTCGGGATGGCACCAGACAGTCACATGCACTAGCTCAGGATAGACAGTGGTGTGGAAGCCACAGACAGTAAACAGGTCACCTTGAGGCTGGGAAACCAAGGGTTTCCCCAGACCCTGGATTTGCACCCAAGCACACAGCACCGTAGGCTGCCAGCCCTGGCGATGGTGAGAGAGGTAGAGCCCGAGGCAGAGGCCAGGCTGATCACTGCCTGCCACGGGCCTGGCTCTGCCACCCTCAGTGAGCTAACTCTGCAAATAGTAGCCCATCTCAGAGCCAGGAAAGAGCAGGTGGCCAGCATGGGCAGGATCACAAGAATGGACATTGGAGACAGACTCATGGGTTCCAATCCTCACCACAGTGCTCCCCGGCTGTAGGACCTTACATAAGTCACTCAACCTCTCTGGTCTCACTTTTCCTCATCCACAGACTGGGAATGGAACAGTATTGATCCCAGAGATCACAGAGCTCCAGAGCAGATTCGTGAGCCAATACTTGCAAAGCCCTTAGGGCCAAGCCTGGCACCCAGCTAACCCAGGACAAGTTTGCTGTGGACTTTATTTGTAATAACCCCAAACAGAGAAGAGCCCTAAGATCCATAAGCAAGTGAACAGAAAATAAACTGTTCCATCCAGCAGAACGCCACTCACACCGAGACAGAAGGAAGCACGGACGCTCCATCGGTGTGGGCGGATTTCTAACTAATCACCAGAGTGAGAGACGCAGACGCTGCGTGGCACCCTTCCCACAAGTCCAGGGACACGAACTGCCCTGGGGAGACAGAAGCACAGCAGCGCTGCCTGGGAGGGGTCACCAAGGGCACGAGGAAGCGTCCCAGGGAGACGGAGATGTTCATTATCTTGATTTCGGTGATGGTTTGACAGGTGTACGCACACACCAAGTTTGTAAAACAAAATACGTGCTGATTACCGTCCTTCAGTAAGAGGTTTGTAAAAGGCCTGTGTTTAAAGAGGGAAAGAAGGGCCCAGGAGAGAGCCGGTGAACACCACAGGGTCACCTGTCCGCCAGGCCACGCCACTCACCTTCCCAAAGAGGTGGGACACAACCATGTCTGGCAGGGCTTGAGTCCATCCAGAGATCTGCAGAGAATAAAAGCAGGTGTGTGAGAAACCAGGGGTCCACAGCAGTGAGGAGGTCAGCAGAGCCCCACTGCCCAGGGGAGAGCGGCATTGCAGGGTCCCCGGCGTTCGGGTCTTGAGGACACCCCTCCTAGGGGGTTGGTCCCCAGAGGCCCGTGTGTCAAGGTTTGGGCCCCCACATGGTGCTGCGAGGAGGTGGTGTGGCCTTCAGAAGGTGGGGTCTAGTGGAAGGTACTCAGGCCACTGGGGTCATGCCCTTGAAGGTGACAATGGGACCCTGGTCTCTTCCTCCCTTTTATCTGTTGCCTCCTGGACACAAGGCAAGCGGCTTTCCTCGGCCACAGGCTGCCCACCGTAGTGTGCTGCTCGCCACAGGCCCCAATCAGGAACTGAGGCCCCCAAAGCCGGGACCTGAGAGCAGACAGTCTGTGGCCGGACGGAGTGGCCGAGCCTCCCCCCATTCCCTGCCTCCGAGCCCCGGGCTCGGGGTGCACAGAAGTGGGGTCTGACTAGGACCCAGCCAGCTCCGAGCTTCCCCTGCTCCAAAAGCTCCCCAAGTTCTCAGCAAAGAAGCCCCTGCGCCCCTCTTCTGGACACGCACTGAGCCTCCTGGGACACACCCCAGGATCTGCTTAGCCCTGACTATCCCTCCTGTGTCACGCTCTGGCTCTGGCTCTTCCTCAAGTCAGTTTCCTTTCTCTGAACTGACTGAGGTCACCGACGACCCTTCCTCTCTCCCCCCAGCAACAGGCTGTGCATATGGCAGGAGCTGCGTGAATGCCAGCTTACACCAGGCATTCCATAAATGCTATGTATACTGTAGGGGCTCTGTAAATACTGAACATGGAGAACAGGCTCCGTGAAGGTGCTGACTTCAGCACCGGCAGGGACTGATGGAGGGAGGAGCTCTTGCCCTAGGGTCCCAGCTGACCCCTGCCTGTCACCTCCCCATGATGTGGTGCTGTGCATTACAAGACCTGCGAGGGCTACAGGAGGCAGTCGGCACCCGGCCTGACACGCAGGCCAGACCCAGGCTGCGGCACCCAGGTCACAGCTCCCCAGGGCTGGGGCTGAACGGGAGGGCAAGGTGCTCAGAGCAAGGCCACAGCTTGCCTCCGGCTCCAGTGGGCCATGTCCCTAACATCCACGCCTGGCTCACAACAGCTGTCCAGAAGCCAAACTGGCCAGCCAGAATGTCACTTCCTCTGCTGGAAAATCTAATAAAAACCAGGGCATGGGCCACACTCCTGCAAGTCACATCACCCAGGAAGTAGGGCGGGGCTCGAGGGAGAAATGCACAGGGCGGCGGGGGGGGGGGGGGGGGGGGGGGGGGGGGCGGAACCCACGCGACCCATGAGCCCTGTCCCCACAGCCACCCCTAAACTTGGCAAAAACATGCTTTCACGAGACGCTGGGTCACCCCAGCCTGATGGCTTTGTGCTAATTCATTCAGAACTATCCCTCCCTCCTTGGCAGACACTGGGGCCTTTATGGGAAAGAAAGGAAGGAAAAAAAACAACAATAATTATTTTTAAAAGATAAACAGGGAACCTCAGGACAGCAGCCAGGGCAGGGCTCCCGGAGACAGCTCAAGCCACTTGGCCTGCAGGCAGCTGTCCTGTGGCTCAGGCCTGACTGTGCCCCACTCTGGCCCAGAAGCCCCAGCCCCAGGGATGGTCAGGCCCAGGGACCTTGGTGTCCAAGTAATTATACCCAGTCCCAGATCCGCCCCTAGCTTGTGTGACCTAGACCTTAACTTGACCACTCAGACCCCAGTTTTCTCTTCTGTGAAAGGTTAGGAGAACCCCACCATGAGCGTGAAGTGAGGTGAGACAGTAGACTACAGGAGGGCACGGCAGGTCCCAAGTCGGGTGAGCCAACTACCGTGGTGAACCTGGGGCACAGCCACAGCTCCCAGACACGTCAGGAATGGAACCCAGGAGTCCCTAACCACTGAGTGACATTCCCAGCCTCCTCTACTACTTTTCCTCTTTTGAAGCAGGGTGTCACTAAGATGCTGAGGCTGGCCTGGAACTTGCAATCCTCCTGCCTCGGCCTCCTGAATCACTGGGATTACAGGCATGTGCCGCGGCACCCAGGTATACATGGATTCTTAAGAAGCTTTTGTCTTGTTCGTCTCAGGAAGATTGTTCATCAAGATAGTCAACAGTTGAGAGAAGCCGAGCACGTGACAGGAGCCCAGCAAATACTTAAGAATTGAGCCATGCTTATGGAGCTGGCTGGGGGACCCCTGTCCCTGTGGCACCCCTGGCTTAGACAGCACGGTCCACTTGAGTCTTCTGCGGAACAAAGAGCAGGGCTCGTGTTTGCCATTCTGAGCACAGCGAGGGAAGCTGCGCCAGGCTGAGGCTGTGTGTCCCTGTCCCTCTGCATCTTGGCCCCCACCAGCCCTACCCTGGCCCCCAGCCTCACCTTGGAGGCCGCCCAGTCCATCCAGCCTTCCGCACAAGGGTTCACGTTGATCAGGACGAGGCCCTCCACCATCTCGGGGTTGTTCAGCTGCAATTAGAGACACGAGGTGAGTCAGACAGCCCGGCAGTCTGAAATACGAGGAACCTGGGGTCAAACGGACACTTGAGAGGAGCACCCAGGAAAGCGCCAGTGTGGGGCACCAGGACAGACTGCTGCTCTCCGTCCTCCACCAGCCACTGCCCAGGCAAAACTAGCCCCGGCCTTTGAGAGAGCAGAAGGAGGAAACTGCAGGAGGAGGCCAGCCCTGCACTGGGCAGCCTGGGCTGGTCCCTGTGGCTCAGTCCCCAGCTGTTGGAGGGGTCAGCAACCCACCCAGCACACAAATCAGGCAGGCAGGGAGACATCTGCCACTCGATTACTCCTGGGACACACGTATATACACAGGAGCCACTTGAGTCCTCTTATTAACCGGCTCGGAGCCAAGATGGCCAGACATCTGTGTTCGGGCCACATCCCCAACCTCCAGCAAACCACAGCCAGTATCAGGCATCAAAACACCTACGACTGAATAAAGTGGGTACATGCATCCTCAAAAAACTGTTGGATGATGATACAAAGGGCTCAGGAGCACTTTCCACGGGCTCAAGGTCCCTACGGTGGCAATGGTCCTGCTGCCACAGGAGAATGGGGCACCACTCGGGAGGGGGCCGTCCTGGGCACGAAGGCATGCGCCCTGGACGTGAGAGCGTGCCCAGTGCATTGTTTCAGCAAAGGAAATACAATGAAATAAAATAAAAGCCTCGGGTCTGTGCGCGAGAACACACGTCACCCGCACACGAAGGGCTGGGGCAGCCCCGTCCCAGGGCTCCCTTGGGGACAGGAAGTACAGCGCATTTATTTTTTCCCTTTTGGTCTTTTCAGTGCTTTTCCAAATGTCTCTCTTAAATCTTGAGTTAACTTTATTCAAAATGTAATATCTTCAATGCCAAGACTCACCGCAAAGCGGGTCAGGATGTAGGCGCCCGCTCCTGTGCCCATCCCGATGACGCTCTTCAGCCTGCAGGCGGGAGGGACGGGTCAGGTCTCAGGAGGAAAGAGTGACGGAGGCTCAGCACTGCCGCACCGTCCCCTTGTCCCTAAGAGCCCCCTCTCCTCGGTGTCTGTCCAGTGCAGTGAGGGCACCCTGACGGCCCCAAGTTTAAGACTCCACGGAGACCAGCAGCTTAGACCTGCCCCTGCCCCTGTTCTTCTGGGTGGCCGCCGAGGCTCCGAGAGAGGCCTGGCATTCACAGGAGGGCCGCGAAGGTGCCGCTTCCTCCCTCTCCTGAGCTTTATTTTGGATTCTAAAATTTGGAATGAAAGCAAATTGGACCAGAACCAGGAGATATTATCAGCCTAACTTGAAAGGCTCAAGCGGGAAAGAAGGGAGCACTGGCAAAATAAGAGTCTGCACAGAGACACTGAGGTCTCAGGCAGCCCCATTCCAGAACGTTCCATGGAGGAGACTAGGTAGAGGAACAGCAGGCAAGGGCGGGGTGGGGGGTGAGGCTGCCATTAGGTGCCATAACTGCTCAAGAAGAAAGGCTCAGGTCCTGCAAGGCCAAGGAGGGTGTCAGGAAGAGCAGGCTGCACCGGGGGCGTCTGCCTTGCCTCTTCTTTAAACTCCAAACTGCACTTCAGAGGCCAGGCCAGGTCAAGGTCAGGGAAGAAGAGGAGGCTGGGCCAGCCTCCTCTGCAAACTGTCAGGGAGGTGACCTCTCACTCTTACCCGAACTGCTGAAGGACCCCAGGAAGCATCTCGGCCAGTTGATCCATAGAGGGGTACATGTACCTGGGGAAGACGGGGAAGGCAGGAGGTGAGAGACGGACCCAGCTGCGGGCTCACCCCACTCACCCACCTTGGAGCATACCCCACCCGGCTTCCCCAGGCTCGCTACCCCAGCCAGAATCCCTCCTTTCATTTTGTCAGGAAACTTTTTATGAGCTGCTTCCTCTGTCCCGGGTCCTATGGGAGAGTCCCACGCAACACACAGCTCACTAACCCCAAAAGACTCTACGAGGCTGCTGCTGTGGAGACTATAAACGTCACAGTGTAATAGGCCACTTGCCCTCCCAAGACCAGTGGACGGTTGGCCACAAGCAGCTATCTCTGGCTTTGGAAGGAAGCGTCGGCGTGGGCTGGAAGGCCACAGCCTCAGTCTCCGGGAGCAGGAACTGGGACAGGCGCGGCTGAGTTCTATCAACACGAGTCAGGCCCGGACACACGCCCAGCTCTCGGGAGGCCACCGGAGAGCATGTGAGCTAAGCAGACATGGCCCAGCCCAGGACCCAGCTGGTGAGTCAGCGGAAACCAGCAGGCATGACGCATGGCCGGGCTACAAAGGGAACCCGAGGGCTGAGAGGGGACACCGAGATAGGAAGACCACTCTGCTCCGGTGGGCAGGAGGGGCTTCTAGGGGAAGTGTCCCTGAGGGCCCTGGGAGCCTGAAGAGTGTCAGAGATGCTGTCTAGGAGGGGCCGGCGTGTGCAGACGTCCTGCCACGGCCAGGAAGAGCTGGACGGTGTAACCCCAGTGAACCCAGCGAGCCTTAGGAGAGGGGGGCAAAGACATCCGGCCCCTTCCAAGTGCCACAGCTCAGCATGGGCCCAAAGCTCCCTAAGGGACCCTGGGGAAGCCGCTTCCACCTGCAGGGACTTCTGCTCCCTCCCTGCCCCCAGGTCTGGTGCAGCAGGGGGACAATGGGATCCTGTGCAGGGCATGGACTTCAGGGCCAGGAGCCAGCAGGGGTCCCCACCCTGCATGGCTGACTCAGCACTCAGAGGGCCTGGCAGACCCCCACGCCCAGGCTCCAGGAACAAGCCAGGTCCCTCCCACACTGGGCCCCACCCACCCACTCTGGAGTCAACCTAGTGATCTCAGGGAAACCACCCTCCACGATGGTCTCCAGATCCACTGAACAAAGTCCCTGGAGGTGGACATACTCCTAGGACCTCCCAGGGGAGCTGGGAGCCTCTGCTTTACCCAGCCTTTCCAACAGTTGGCCCCACCTGAGCAGCATGTCTTCTAGTTGACAGTTAACTGTGTCCCTTTGTTTCAAAAGATTTTTATCTCTGATCCTACCACAAGGAGTGGGTGTCCCTTCCCTTCCTCTCTGATAAAGGTTGATAATTAAGAACTCTGGCCACTAAGGAGAAAGGACATCTGCCGGTAAATGCCAAGAAGGCCTTTCTAGAAGCCTGTAAGCCATGGAAGCCCCCCACCCCCACATACACCAGGTGCTACTTGGGGGCCAGCAAGCCTGGCCATGGCTGCACCAGGGGACCTAAGGAGGACTGGGCAGGGCCAGCGCCCTGGAACAAGGCAGTCACATGTTCCAAGGACATGGGTCTCAGCAGACCCCCTCACCCCAGCTATGTGACCTTGAGCCAGGTGGTTAACCTGCCAGGCCTCTCTTTCTACGTGTCGAAAACAGAGCTCACAACACCAGGCAGAGACCACTGGCCAGAAAGATGCAGGGCAAAGGACATTTATAAGTAACAAGTTGAAGCCTGGCCCAAGGAGGCGCTGCATCGGGATTACTGCCTTCCCTCTTTCTTCTCAGCTTCCTAGGTCTTCTTCCCCCTTGACCAGTGGGTCCTGTCAAACTGTCTCCCAGGTAGGTCCCACGCAGGGTGAACCCACCTGGCACGAAGCCAGCCCAGCCAGAAACAGGGGTCAGGGTTTAATGGGCACAGTGTGGGGTGCTAAAGAGTCCTAGAGACAGACCATGGATGGACCGCGGCACAATGTCTGCCCTGTACTAGACGCCACCAATCCTTAAAAATGGTTAAAATGGTCAATTTTATGATCTAGGTCTATATAGCCACAAAAATGGTTAAAATAGTAAATATTATATTTTATCATGATTAAAAGTTTTTAAAGCCAGCTCGACGCTCCCACCCCCAGATTCCACCCCACACGGCTCCTGCGGCAGGAGGACCCCTGTCTCACCCCACGGGGAAGGAGGGAGCACCATCCTGCTGGCCAGGGGCGTCCACGTGGCAGACGGCAAAGTGCTGGGTGATCTCCTGCATGTCCTCGTAGTTGAAGAGGGGGTTGTAGCAGGTTTTGTCTGGAGAACAGGAGGGGGGGGGGGGGGAACGGGAAGGGAGTTAGGGGAGGGAACAGTTAGGTGGCAGAGGGCAAAGCACATCTGTTCTACTTTCACTCACACTCAGCAAGGGGACGGAGGACGAGGACATTCCCCGCCCCACTCTGCCCTCCTCTAGGGATAAAGACAAGAGTAGGTCACAGGCAGGGAGCCGGCACGGGGTGGGGACGGTCAATGAGCCCTGCTGTTCGTGAAGCCAGTGAATACTAAGCTCCTACTGGTGCTGGGAGGGGCTCTCCGTCTGGCTCCTGCCCCTCCACGGCCCCCTCCACGGCCATGGCCTCATGTCCACCCTACTCCCTTTCTCTCGGGGTCTTCTAGGCCCTCAGATCTGGGGACTGAGCAGGACACACACCATCTTCAGACAAGGAGAAGCACAACGGATAAAGCATGGACCCTCCACTTAAGTGGCCTAGGGCCAGGCTGCCAACCGCCGGGGTCCTGAGGAAAAGATGGCCAGCCAACCTTTTCCTGCTGGACACACAGCTGGACTACATTCCCCAGGGTCCTTGTAACCACAGGCCGCCATGTGACTGGGTTCTGGCCAACCACATGCAATGCTCACAGTTTCCTCTCCACATCTGCCGCTCAGACCTCTGAGTTTCTCTCTCTTCTTTCACCTGCCGGATCACAGGAGCCAGCAGGAGCTGCTGAGGACCCAGGGGATGGCAGAGCTACTAGTTACAAGGGCCCCACGTCCCTGAGTCCACACATGGGACACGTCTCACGGAATACCCTCGACTGTGACGGACTGAGGAGAGAGGCCCATTCTTGGGGCCTCTTGCTACAGCGTTCAGCCTACCCTAACCCTGGGCTAAGCAGGGGAGCGGCAGATCTGATGCAAGTGCACTGCCTTCTCAGGGTCCAATGAGACAAAGTGAGGTCTCCAAAAGGACCTGGCGTGGGACCTGGTACGTGATGGACACGAGGGACAGACGGGGAAGACACAGGGAGCAAGAAGGGCAACCTGGCTTCCAGCAGCTGACCTCATCCCCGCCCCGAAGGCTCACAAGCTGTAGGAAAAGGTGGAAAGGAGGCAGTTCTCCACCCCCAATCAAGCACCCTCCTGCACACTCCAGCTCAGATGGCGCCTTCTGACTCACCGCAGAAACTCACCCCTGTTCCAAATCACGGTAACAGGGGCTAGCTCCTATTTTACCCCTTTATGAAAAATTGGCCACCCACACGGTAACACTATCTGGTCATCTAAAGAATTCAATGTCTAAGCCTTCAGAGCAGCACTATCCATCACAGCCCAAAGCAGAAAGGGCCCCGTGTCCAACAACTGGAGAGCGGAGAGAGCAATGTGGCACGTCCATACAGTGGAATATTATTCAGCAATAAAAGAACAAAGAGCTGATACAGGCAGCAGAGGGCCCCTGTGCTCCAGGTTCGAGGACAGTGCCAAACCCCACCAGAGTGCACGCAGGGCTTCCCAGGCTGTGGCAGGAGGTCCTCCCCAAACAATTCCAAGAAGTCCCCCAAAAGGAAACAGCTAGCTCCAGCCCGTCCTGGGGGACCAGGTGGCCACCCCACCAGGGAACCGGGAACCTCAGAACTCACGGTTCATGCCAATGTCGTGGTATGTGAGGATGACGGGCCGGTTTCCCTTGGGGGTCCCACACAGCGTGACGTGCAGGGAGCCATGTAACGTCTCGATGTCCTGCTCCTGAGGAGAGACGGCAGACAGAGGCCCGTCACGTGGGGTCAGGGAGCCAGCCTCCCACCGTGTCGGAGGAAGCTCCGAGCACCCCTCTCGTGTGGCCCCAGAGCCTTGAGTTTCAGGAGGCAGATTTCTCTGGCTAGAAACCACACCCAGAAGAAGAGGGAGGGAGGAAGGAAGGGGGAGGAGAGCTCCAGGAGGAGGCACAGGAAGGAGTCCCGGTGCCCACCGTTGTTAACTGCACAAAACGCAGGGGAAGGGCCGCCCCGTGGCCTTCTCTACAATGGACTTTGTTTTCTCCATCCAGAAAACTGAGGCCATCGCAACTGAGCTTCCCTGTCTACCCCGTCTCATGCCTCACCTGTCCCATAGGTTAGTCCCCATGTGATGGACGTCTGGTGATTTGGGGTTGCCCAGAATTCTCTTCCCATTTCCCAGCTCAGCCTCCAGTTTCCTTGGGAATTCACCCCATTCTCCCCCCAGGAGGTCTGTGATGCTCACTCCTGCCCCCTGTTGCACAGTCCAAAGCCGATTCCTGCACCCCACCTCCCTGTTGGTTGCAAGGACACGAGCTGGGTGAGGTAGATCAGAGCCAACTACTGCAGAAGTGGATGGGACTGGACAGAGCAAGGCTAGGAGGGCTGGATCTACAGCAGCCATATTGTTACCACGAGGATGAGGGCCTGCTGAGGACAACCCAGGCAGACCAGACACAGAAAAGAGAGGAAAGAGCTCTCAGCACTGGTGTCTACCACCTGGAACGGCTAAGTGGACCACAACTTCCAGCCCCACATGAGCCATTTGGGGTTGACCAAGAGTCTTGAATGATACCATGTCCCTCCTCCTCCTCTTCTCCCCCAGCCTCACAGAGTCAGGTGGCTCCCCTCCCAGGCACGGCAGTTCCCCGACTGCTTGCTCAAGCCGCCTCCCCCAGTGGCCCCCCACTGTCCTTGTACTAAAGCCAGCCACCAAGATGTGACCTACGTCAGTCCCTGCCTGGTTGTGGAAAGAGGAAGCCCAGAGTTCACAGCCTCCTGTGAGACAGGAAGGGCTGGTGGGCCACCACCTAGGAGCCCTCTTCTCAGCTTGGGCACGTGGACCCCACTGGTCACGTGGAAGGCCGTCGGTTCCCCCTCCTGGGGATGGTGGAGACCCACAGCATACAGCAGGTGGCGCTGTGCGTATTGCTCTCCTGTGAGGCCGGGAGACCCAGCCACACCCACTGTCTACACAGGCTGGGGCGGATCACACCTTGAGGCTCCCAGGGGGACTGAAGCCAGTTCAACTCAACCCGCCCATGTGCCAGGCTCCCTCAGTCCTTAAAGTAGATAAGAACTCACAAGCTACAGGCGGTGGTGGGGTCCCAGGATGGCAGGTACCTGGGTCACGGGAGCTGAAGAAGAGGACTGTGCCCCCCCAGGGGGCTGTGGGAAGAGCCAGAAAGGCTGGAATCCATAAAGCCAGTAGTTCCCCAACCGGGGAACGGACCCCCAGCCCCCCCCCCCCCCTCAGGAGGATGGAAGCTCGGTATCACTTTAACCAAAACATGAAAATCCTGTCCCCATCCCAGGCAGAGGGATGCAGGGACTCCCAGCAATCACCTCACAGAAGCAAAGCAAGCCAGCCTGGGGCCACCGCGGTGCCTGGTGGAGGGGGCTGACCCTCCCAGGGTGCAGAGGGCCTGCCAGGAGACGGTGCCCACACAGGCCCAGGACAGAGAAGGCTCCCTGGTAGTGCCCAGGCCCACCAGGACAGGATCCGCCTGGCCATCTGCCTTTCACCCCCCAAATAAGTCACTGGATACCAGAGCTCACCGTCTTCCTGTCCCCTTCCTGTTTTGTCAGGGCCCAGCACTTCTTTCCTCCCATAACAAGCGCTGGAAAAATCCATGGCCTCCGGAGCAACCGCCCAGCCCAGTGGGGCCACAGATCATCTGTAGGCCCTGAAGCCATCATGGGAACAATGGCTTATTATGGGGCCACATTCTTTATTGTCTCCCAGGCTGACCCACATGGCTCCTTCTAAAAATAGGCCAAGCCAGGCGGTCCCCTACGCCTGCAGACCTCAGGGTCCAAGTCTGCATTCCACCCTGCCCGTCCCTCTGGGCCTTGAGGTCCTCGCCTCTCCACCCTGGGTTCCTAAAGGTGGAGACCACCACGCGGAGTAGGACACAGCCCCCAGCAGAAAGGGGGTCCTTGGCACATGCAGCACAGAGTTGAAATAGGGTGGCAGAGCTGGGACACCTAGTCCACTGGTCAGACTGTCTGTGGCAGCCCCCAGGGTGAGGGTGGGAGCAGATTTTGACTCGCTCTTTGGTGGTCTTACTAACTACCAATCTTAACTGGAAGGGCCTACCCATCAGTCAAAGGGGGAAAGGCCAGCTGGCCCTATTGCCGGTCCATATTCAGGCCTGGCACAGCCTCTGGAGCCCTGGGTAATGTCTGCAGTATCCCCGTGCATCCTCCACAGGGGCACCAGTCTCCTCTGGATCCACTCTCCAGCACCTCTCTCCAAACTGCCACACACTCATCAAGTCCTTCTGGACACCCAGGATCAGGGAGCGGCTGCACAGCCCACCTGGCTCGCCCTCACCAAGGAGCACAAGAGGTCATCGCCACGGCCACTGCCTCAGCCTGCCCGACCTGGTGCCTGAGCAGGTCTTGGAGGAAGAGGCGTTCGCCATGGTTGGCCTCTTAGGAAGGACAAAGGCCTGGGGCTCAGGAAGTGGAAGTGACATTGGGGCACACAGGTGCAGGCTACCTCTGGTCACAGGTGGCCCTAGGGAAGAGTACCTGACACACAGCCGCAGGAACACCTGCAGACCAATTCTATGGGTGGAGAAACCTAGGGCACTTCCCCAAGGTCACCAGCTTGCAGAGGAAGAACCAAGGTTAGGGCCTTTATCTGCAGGGTCCTGTGTCCTTGTGCCAAGGGTCTGCTGGCCCCCATCATCCCTGACGAGGTCCAGGTCCACCAGCCCACACATAAAGGAGGAGGAGGAAGAGAGGTGGGTGCTGGGGTGCCGGGGCACCAGAGCCTGTGCCCCACGTTACGCACTGTGCTCAGGCGGTTCTGAGCCAGCCCTGGCGCACGCTCTCCATCAGCCAAAACCAGGAAGACTGCGTCTGAGACTGAATGGGAGAATGAAAATAGCCACAAACACACGCCGTTGTCCTCTTCAGTCCTAAAGGAACGCTCTGTCCTCCTGTCCCTGTGGGGATCAATCACCCACTGTCCTGCAGGGAGGAACTTGCCGTATCTCCCACGATCTCACCGACACGAGGCACCAGAAACCCAAGCCGCCACCAGAAACCGGTGGCCACAACCGCAGGATGCTCTGCATGTCCTCCAGCCTGATGGGGGAAGACCTGGCTCGGGCTCACTGGAAGACCCCTGGCTGGGACAATGGTGGGAACACACACCCCCTTCTCCACCAACCAGAACCCATCCTGCACCTCAGAGGCAGACTGCACAAGTCCCTGCTCAAGGGGCCTCACCCAGCTGGGAAGGTACAAGAGAGAAAAGCCAGGCCACACTGATCTTTCATTCACTGATCAGCGAGACCCTAGAGAGCTACTCTCTGGAGGTGCAGGGTGGTGGCGGTGGTGGTGGCGGTAAGGACCTTCTCAGTCAAGGCACCTCACCCCAGGCCCTGCCTGAGCATCCTACATGTGCTTGCTCAGCAAATCCCCAGAGACCCATCAGGGAACAGCCATCTGTTCTGCACAGACGAGGAAACTGAGGCTGAGAGAGGCCGAGGAACTTGTCTAAGGTTGCACAGCTGGAATGGTGGAGAGGGCCTTGAGCCCCACTTGGATTTGGACAGTCCAAGTTCAAAGCCTGCTGTCTTTAACATCCCTGTTTTGCACAGAGTGCCAGGTGTTACGTGAAGAAGGGGTTCCGGAAGGCTTGACACGCAATCCACAGTGGTCTCGCAGAAGGGGGCCACAAGTCAGGCTCCCCACATTTATCTGACTACAGCCCTGGCAGCTCCAGGTGCTGGAAGTCCACGCAGCACAGGATGGAGAGGTAACACTCTCCTGTGCTCTGCTAAAGCTGCAGGTGCCATCGGCGACAGGTGCACGTGTCTGTGGGTAGGTGCGTGAGGGTGGGAGGGGCTCAGGAAGGACTGGCCTTCAGGAGAGGCCGCCATGCCCCCTCGTTCCCTTCTCTGGCTCTGACTGCCCAGCAGCTGCCTCCTGGAGCACTGTCAACCCCCCAAGGGACACTTGGAGACTGACGCCATCTACACTGCCTGAGCCAGCAAGCAGTAAGCACAGCACCTGCTGCTGCAGTCTACACTGCCTGGAAGCTGCGGAGTGGGGAAAGGCCCCCCACTCCTACCCTGAAGATCTCATCTCTCTGGCTGCCACTCCTGGCGAGGGAGCGCCGTGACCCACTGCCGACTCTTGCTGTTTGTCATCCCAAACAGCCGAACCCTTCTTTTTCACAACAGAATTCCAATTGTGCCAAACAGATTCTGCCTGATAAAATTCCCTTCCCCATTCCCTCGCATCAGAAGATGGTCAGAGGCTCAGTTCTGGCCAAGACAAATTCAGCAGAACTTGCTGGGGCTTCGTGGAGAGCTTTGTTCGTTTAAGGATCAACCTTGGAACTCTCCTCTTGCCCCTCCACCTACTTCCTACCTGGAGCACGGATAAGATGCTGGGGACTTAGCAGCCATATTATAGAGGAAAGACAGGAGCTACAATCAGGGTGACAGAAGAGGGAGGAACCTGGGCAGGGTGACATTCACGGCACACTGGACTAGGCCTTCCAGGTGTCAGCAAGAACAGCAAACATTTCCTGGTGAGGTCACTGCTTGTTGAGTGACATTAACCCTAACGACACATCCACCACGTGCCCTTGGCCAAATTATGGACTTTCTCTGAGAATCTCTTCCCTGAACTGTAAACGGAGGTCACTAAGGAGTCTGCCTGCTCCCCAGAGCTGTTCCCAGGACTCACACCACCACTGGGACCTAGACACTGTGTCACAGTGTCACC